TCTCAGCAGTTTTGTAACCAGCTAAGGAGTTTACCCTAAGTAGTTTGTTTTCCACCTTATCAAACACTGAGTTACTGAGTTCTAATGATTCTGCATTTCCCTTGTTTCATTTGTGCCATTCATTTGTCTCTCTCTGAATCTTTTATTTTTACCAATACCAACTAAATGGTATTTTACCAAAACCCATGGTTTTGATGACTGCTGCTATATAGTACAGTTTGAGGTCTGGAAGTGCTCTTCCCCCTATAGCCTTAATTCTCTTCATCATTCCTTCTGATGTTGTAAGTCTTTTGTTTTTCCAAATGAATTTTATTATTTTCTTCAGTCTTGTAAAATGTCTTTCATAATTTTGTTTTATCGTTATTGATGCTGTTCAGTCATGTCCAACTCTTTATGACCCCATTTGGGGTTTTCTTGGCAAAGATATTAGAGTGTTTTTTTCTTTCTCCAGCTCATTTTACAGATGAAGCTACTGAGGCAAACAGAGCTGAGTGACCTGCCCAGTATCACACAGTTAGTAAGGGTCTGAGAACAAATTTGAACACAGGTTTTCCTGACTCCAGGCTCAACATTCTATCCACTCTGCCCCCAGAATTTCATTACTATAGTATTAAAAGTGTAGATATCATTGTTAAGTCTCCATTTAGGTTTGTATCTTTTGTGGTCCATGAACCAATTTCCATTCTTATTTCGTTATGGAATGAAAGCATGTCTGGATAACTTTTTATCTTTGTTTGCAGTATCTCTGCAACCTAGTGTAAGGTTGATTTTTGTAAACATACCACGTGGTGCAAAGAAACAAATTCTGTCTTCAGTTCTGATTTTCTAAAAATATTTCAGACTCTTCTTTATCACTGAACATCTACTTTTTGTCCCACATTGCTAAGCTCATATTGGCAAGATAGGTCTCCCTGGGCTACGTGCTGAGCTTCATTGCTCTCTGGAATACATTCTTCCATTCCGTTCTCATTTCTAGAGGGTTTTGAATAGTTTTGCTTATTGCAGTGTTCTTTCCATTGTATTTGAAAGTCTTTCCCTTGATAGCTTTTTGGACTCACTTAGCCTCAAGGACCTGACAGTCTAATAGAGGAATACAACACAGGAAGGAATGATGAAAATGGGTTGGAGTGAGGAGAAGGTACCCCAGTATAGGGGCACAATGGAGCAGTCAGTCAGAGAAGTCCCAAAGAAATCAAGTGACATGAGTAATGAGATGTCTAAAATGAGCTTTCTCCATAAATGGAAGTTTGGAGGTCATAACCCCATCCCATCATGGTGAGAGATGGTTGTGAGAGGCTTGAAAAGGAAAGAGATTTGAATAGCTTTTGTTGGGGTGAGTAAGGGAATGAGAGACCAACTATCAATTAGAGTGCTGTCTTCCTGCCATGAAAGCCCACATGATGAATAGTATGAGATAAAGAGACCCCAGTGGGGGGGGGAATTATAAATTCTTGGAAATCTCAAAAAGTTTAAAAGATCAATAAATGCCTCAGTTGTTCCAAACTAAAATATTGGAATACTGGCAGTGAAAAGTGTTATATGGGTAAAACATGGACCACGAATCAGGTATTTTAAAGACGAAATCACAAAGATAAAAAAGCAAAGGACAATTTTGTACATATGATGGAGAATTGTTCCAAATATCAGAATTTCTGATAAAGTGAATCATGTCCCAATGATGGAAATGAAAGACCTTCAAAGGCCCAACACACATTGTACATGTAGCAGTTTGGAAATACAGATAAGTGCTCATAAGTATCAAGGTATTTTCAAATTTGGCCAGCCTTTCTTGTATATGGTCCTTTCTTGTCTTTTGTCCTCCCAAGTTTCCAGAGTTCTACCAGTATATTTAGATCTTTTATTTGTCTTGAGGAAACTTTCTCATGAATTAGCTGAAACATAACCTACATTATCTAAAGTTTGCTATTTTAATGTATGAAGGAACTTTCCACACTTACTTTTATTTCTCTGCAACTCAATAGCAGAGTATGGATCGATTCTCTGCTACTTGTGCTAATGTTGTCCTGACAATAATGCCAAGAAAATAGAGGTGGTCAGAAAGCTCAAGGATGTTAAGGGAATCAATGTAAAAAAATATGAAGGGAAGTGGTCTAGCTATATTGAAAAGCTTGTTAAAATACTCTGGTTCTGGTTAAGAAATAGAGGGGTAGATGAGTGGACTAGATTAGGCCCAAATTCCCTTATAGTAAATGACCCTAGTAATCTGGTATATGATTAACCCAAAGATCCAAGCTTTGGAACAAAAACTGCTGGGAAAACTGAAAAACAGAATGGCAGAAACTAGGTATAGACCAACATCTCACACTGTATATGAAAATAAGCTCAAAATGGGTAAGATTATGTACATGGGTACATAAAAGATGGTACCATGTGCAAATTAGGAGGATATAGATTCATTTATCTGTCAAATCTATGGTTAAGGGAAGAGATTATGACCAAACAAGAGATAGAGAAAATTAGAAGATGTAAAATACATAATTTTCGTCATATAAAATTGAAAAGTTTTAGCACTAAGAAAACCAATACAACTAAAATTATAAGGAAAGCAGAAAACTGGAGAATTCTTTTCCAAGTATCTCTGATAAAGGCCTCCTTTTTGAAATATATTGAGAACTGAGTATAATTTATAAAAATACAGGTCATTCTCCAATTGACAAATGGGGAAAGGATATGAATAGGCAGTTTTCAGACAAAGAAACCAAAGCTATCTACAATCATATGAAAAAATGCTCTTAATCACTATAGGTTAAAGAAATGCAAGTTAATTCTGAGGTACAACCTCACACCCGTCATATTGGTTAATATTTTTTTTAATTTATTTTATTTTTTTAGGCAATTGGGATTAACTGAGTTGCTCAGGGTCACACAGTTAGTAAGTGTCAAGTGGTTGGTCTGAGGCTGAATTGGATTCAAGTCCTCCTGACTTCAAGGCCGGTGCCCTATCCACTGTACCAACTAGCTGCACCTCATATTGGTTAATATGACAAAAATGGAAAAATGATGGATGTTGGAGGGTATGTGGGAAATCTTTATTAATGCATTAATTCACTGTTGCTGGAGTTACAAACTGATCCAACCATTATAGAGAGCAATTTGGAGCTATGCCCTAAGAGGTATAAAACTAGGCATAATTTTTGATCCAGCAATACCATTGCCAGATCTATAACCCAAAGACATTTAAAAAAAAAGAGTAAAGACCTATTTGTACAAAAATATTTATAACAGCTCTTTTAGTAGTGGCTAAGAATGGAAAATCAAAGAGATGCCCATCAATTATAGAATGACTAAACAATCTCTGTTATATGATTGGAACGGAATATTATTATGTTCTAAGAAATGAGGAGGAGGGTGATTTCAGAGAAACCTGGAAAGACTTACATGAAATGATGCAGGGTTAAATGAACAGAACCAGGAAAACATTGTACACAGTAACAGCAATATTGTTAAGTGAAGAACTGTGAATGACTTAGTCATTATCAATCACATCAATCAAACAATAAAATGATCCAAGAAAATCCTGAACAACTAATGATGGAGCATATTATCCACCTACAGAGAAAGAACTGATGTTGTTTGCATACACATTGACGCATGCTATTTTTCACTTTCATTCATTTTTTTAATCTTCCTGTACAAAACAACTAATATGGAAATGTTTTACATGATTGCACATGCATAACTTATATCTCCTTGCTTACTGTCTCATGGAGGAGGAAGGAAGGGAGGCAAAGAGGGATGGAGAAAGGTCATTTCTCAAGTTAGACTGCCAAGCATTCACACTCTACTGCAGAGAGGACAACTTCGATGGGCTTCTCCTGTTGTTCAAATGCCAAGGGAATATTTGCCTAAAATATTGTTTTACATGCAAAGAAGGTGCTCACAAGGTGGTCAGAAAAAGTGATACAGGGGCATTCCCATGGTCTCTCTAAAGAACTTTATAATCAATTGTGAGCCATGGGAGATATTGCCAAAGGACCACCCAGCACATGACCTGCCTACATCAAAGAATGTCCTATGCTGTGCTGTGTGAGCAAAGCAGAATGGCAGTAGCTCAAAAGAATGGTGAGATGTGCAAATTCAGAGCCATCTCCAGCCCAAATGGTCACATGGACTCTTTGTGCCCAACCTGTGGTGGAGCCTTCTGGGCTCTGGTAGTCTGATCATCCATGGTCAGAAACACTTTGACCCTGACATAGTGATGTCATTTTGGTCTTCTTTGAGGAAAAAGAACAACAAAAAGGACCAACTGTGGAAACCAGATATTTCAATAAAAAATGTTATCAATGAATGAAAACAATCATAATGTGAAGGCATAAGATGTTTTGGCCATGACACATCATACCCAGGGCATCCTCAAGCCCTCTAAGTAATAACAGATAACTCTCCTTCACTTGGCTGGAAATTCTCATAACCCTAAATTCAGTCCACATTGTAATTAGTATGTCTCTAGAACCTTTTTCATGTTTCATCTAGATAAGACTTTGTTTTATCTTCTCAGGAAATAAATCTTTTCTTTGTCTTTCTTCTCTTTTGTATTCATACAAATTCAGCCCCTCTCCCAAATACACTGTACTTCTCAACCTCTCACAAACTCTTTGCAAATTTTTTTTTAATAATATATTGCTTCTGTTCTGGGAAGGCAGGAATTTCAGATCATCTTCTATCTATCTCTTTCACAGAATCTCCTAACTCACAGTTAAAACACATACTTTACCCCAGGTTTTATAGTGAGACACATTCCATAGTAAGACTTTATTCCAACTTTATTCCAACTGATCATATGAAATACTTTTCTCAATATTCCATTGGGCTCTGGATGATGATTGTTTCAAATGTTGACTCTGACTCTCCTGAAGGGTACAGCCTTTGCATAAACCCCTTTCTTTGGTTCTGTTTCCTCCTCTCAGTTGATGAGGGTTAGACTACATAAATTATGGAGTCTCTTTCAGTTCTAAATCTTGTGACTTTTGATGGTTTAGGAGTTGGTGACATTCAAAGAGGTGGCTGTGGACTTTACCCAGGAGGAGTGGGGCCTCTTGGACCATCCTCAGAAGGAGTTGTACAAGGAGGTCATGCTGGAGAATGCCCAGAACCTGCTCTCCCTGGGTAAGAACAGTTCCCTAGCCACTCTGCATCTGCAATCCAAAGGAATATCTTTATTCCTGAGTGTACTGAGTTTGCAGCATTTATAAATTACTGGAAGTTACTGGAAGGGAAAAATGCTGGTCTCTTGTGCCCAAGAGACAGGGTCCCCTGCTACCTGGTTTTCCTATAAAAGGTCAGTACACTGGTTGAAGAGAACCTGGAGCTTTCCTGGTTGCTCCTGAAGCTGTCTCTTGCCAATTCTAGGTAGATTGAGGTCAAAGGTCAGATCAGTATTGAAGCATCTCAGATGTGGAAATAATCCCACATTATTTAGTCCAGCCTCTCCCTGGACATGAATTTTGTCTGCCAAGTCTCTGGAAACTGCTCAGGCAGCTTTTCCTTGTGACCCCTTCCTCTTTGGGATGGCCCTACAGTATGGGACATTCTTCTTAAGAAGCCTCAATTTGTAGGTCAGAGCTCCTAGATATGCCTGCTATGGCATGTTTGTCCTGAATATTCCATTGAAGTGCCCCCATTCCAGCAAAGATGGTGGGAAAGACAGGAAGGGAATAAGCCTTTCTATTTACGTGTTATTCACCAGCTGTTGTGCTATGTGCTTTCTTTACAATATCGTGTCGTTAGGTGATATTATTATCCCCATTTGACATTTGAGAAAACTGAAGCAAACGGAGGTTAAGGGACTTTTCCACAGGTGCACAGCCAGTAACTGCCTGAGGCTACAATTAGTCCCTGGCATCTCTGACTCCAGGCCCCCAGGGCTCTCTCCACTGCACTACCAGCTGCCTCTAATTTCTAGATAATGGAAACTTTGCAATGAGTCTATCCTATGAAGAAAGTTTGCCAAGACCAAATTTTTTGATTCCTAATTGGCTCCATGATCTTCTCCCCCACCTCTTCCCAAAGCTACCAAAAATAAACGCTATGAAACCTTGCTTAAGGAGTCCTGGGAACCATCCTGTGCTCGTTGTTTGCAAGCTCCTGTCAAAGGCAAGAGTAACAGACAGGCCAAGAATCAGAATTTGGACTAAGTAAGGTTCATTGAGCTCCCCAGCAGGAGAATCCCACCAGAAGAATCAAAGACTCCCTGAATGAACAGTCCCAAGGTTTTTATAGGACTCAGTGAGTGAGGAGCAGGGTAGGAGAAAGGGCCAAAGCTGATTCTTCAAGGTTCCTTTTGCTGGAGCTCAAGGCTGATCTGGCATATCCTATTTTGAGTTACTTACATTATAAACATTAATGGGAGAGGAAGCCAGATACGTGTGAACATGATTGAGTGATTTTCAAAATGCAGTAGCTTTGTATACACACTATTTTCCCTAAAGAAATCTAAATTACAGGTTTTCTCTGTCCTCATCCCTGATTCCCCATGCCCAGGGCTTCCAGTTCCCAGGCAAGAATTGATCTCTTATTTTGAAGAAAAAGAAGCACCATGGCTGCTGGAGCAAGAAGGCCTCAGGAGCTGCTGCCCAGGTGAATTAGATGAAAGCAGGTGGATGAGGGATGTGATTACAGGAGGCCTCTAGGTGTGGTGGTGTAGCAAGTGCTAGGTTTGGAGGATAGAAGACCTGACTCGGAATTCTTTTTTAGACACTTTGTAGCAATGGGATCCTGCACAAGTTACTGAACCTCTGAGTCTCAGTTTCCCCATGTGTAAAATTGGGGATTTGGACACTTTAAGATTTCTTCCAGTGATAAATCTGTGATCCTATTAAAAACTCATTGTTTAGAATTTGGGAACAGGGACTCTTTTGAAAATGCACAAAGGGGTTAGGCTTTCCAATTTGAATTCTTTCAACATCCCCTGCTGTTTGGAGCTCAGAAACTGGGGAGGGGTGTAGATTGGGGCAGATGACATACCAACAACTATGTAGAATTCTTCTGTGGACAGGAGCTCATTGAGTGAGGGACACTGGAAAGGCTTATTGTGGAAGGTGGGCTCTAGCTGGGGCTTCAAGGAAGCAAGGGTGAGCATTCTAGGCACAAGGATGGTGAGGACAGCCTGGAGAGTCAGGTGATGGAGTGTCCTGTTCATAGAAAAGAAGGGAGGCCCATAGCACTGGAATATAGTGTGTTTGATGGAGATGTAAGGTGAAAGAAGACTGGAAGAGTGGGAGAGGGGTAGGTAAAGAAGGGGTAGGTGATTAATAGCCTTAGAGGGGATTTTATATTTGATCCTTTTCCTAGGAGATATAGCAGGTTGTTGAGAACATGGTGACATGATCAGTCAAAACTTTTGGAAGATGAACTTTGACAAGTGGGGGGAGGAATGACTGGAGTAGGGGGAGACTTGAGGCAGCTGGGCCAAGCAGCAGGTGTGAGGTAATTGGAGCCTGAATCAAGACAGTGGCAGTGTTGGGAGAGAAGGGGGTGAATGGGAGAGATGTTACTTAGGTGGAATCACAGGACTTTGCAGCAGATTGAATGTGTGAGTCAGGAGTGCGAATGTGTGAGAGTCAGTGAGGAGTGCATGACACTTCATTTGTGAGTCTGCAGTATTGAAATGATGCCTTGGACAGCCTTAGGCAGGTAGGAAGAGGGGAGGGCTGAGGGAAAAAGAATGAATTTAGTTTGGATAAAGTAGGAGAACCAGGAGAGCAGTGTTACTAAAACTCAGAGAAAGAGAGAGAGAGAGAGGAAAGGGTGATTGACTATATTAAAGGCTGCAGAGAAGTCAAAAAAGCATGAGGATGAAGAAATAACCTTTAGCAATGATTTAGCAACTTATAAGAGTTTTGCTAATTTTGGAGAGGAGTTTCCATTGAAGAATGCAACTGGGAGCTAGACTGCAGAGTATTTCAGGGAAAGCAAAAGGAAGCAGTTGGAGACACCAATTGTAAATGGGCATGTCCAGCTGTTTAGTCATGACACGGAAGAAAGATATTAGAAAATGTCGCTTGGATTGAATGGATCAAGAGACTGTATTGTGAGGATTAGAGAGAAAAGGTATTACTTGTGACAATAGGGAAGGAGACATTGGTGTTGAAGAAACTGAAAAGTAGTGAAAAAAGGTGATGCTGGACAGGCATTATACCTGGAAGATGGTGTGATGGAATGGGATGATTTACACATGGAAAGAGTTTCCTTTAGGAAGCAGAAGGAAGATGCTTTTATCTGATGCTGGTGTCATAATGGAAAAAAAGACACTTGATTTATGGGAGATGAAGATAAGATAGCTCTTGTTAAGTATCCAATTTTTTCAATGAAATATAAGCCAAATTTCCCTGCTGAGGAGGTGATTGGTGGGAGTAGAGGGTGGGAGCAATAAATAAGTGAGGGTTGGGGGAAAATAGAAAGAATTGGAAAAGCTGCTGTGGTGAATCAAAGAGGGAGTCAGTCATGTGATTGTTCAGTCATTTCAGTTGCTTCTGACTCTTCATGACCCATTTTGGCATTTTCTTGGTAAAGATACTAGAGTGGTTTGCAATTTCCTTTTCAGGCTCATTTTGCACATGAATTAACTGAGGCCAGCAGGCCTGAGTGACTTGCCCAGGGTCACATACCTAGTAAGTGTCTGTGGCTGGATTTGAACTTGAGTCTTCCTGACCAGTACTCTATCCACTGCACCATGTAGCTGCCCTAGTGGAGTCAGTTATGGAGATGTCAAAGGATGGCCTTGCCACAGTGAGGGCCACACTGAGATTATGTAGCCTGAATGTGAAGTGAAGTCAGGAAGCCTGGTTCTAAGTATCTAAGTAACCACAAAGTGGAATTAACCCAAGGCTATGCTTTACATAAACCATCAACCTGTGTCCCTCCCCTGGTCTCTGAGGCTCAATCTTTGGCAATTCTTTTAGAATCATTGGCCAGATCCATTGAGTTTACAGTCACTCTCAGTTTGGAGTAGTGGCAAGTTGAAACTCCCACGTGTCCCATAGTATAAGATGCTTCAGGAGCCTAGAAAGAAGTCTCTATGATCTTCATTGTGCATCTAGTCAGGTTCCAATGTGGTTAAACCCAGACAAAAAGGCCGCACAATATAGTGCAGGAAAGAGGCAGAAACAGGGCTGAGGCCAGAAACTGCCTTTGCCAACTAAGAAAGAGACCAGAATACAGGGCTTGAGGTAGAGCCTGTGGCCTGGTGTCAGCCCTCGGCCCAGTTATTATTAGTAAGCATGGATGAAGCACCCCCAGTTTTCTACACACCTCGCTAAGCTGTAGGAGGGGGAAAAGCCAGTCTCTGCTGTCAAAGAGCTGCCAACATGGCCTACAAACATGGAGATGGTTGAGAAGAAGCAACAAATCAGAAGCCTTGCTCTTAGCTGACTCAGGGAAAACAGGGTGTTTGGGAATGGAGAGAGACATGTAGTTCAATGGGATATGAGGGAACTCAAGGAGTGAGGCTAGTACTAACAGTTTAAAGAGGAGAGTAGAACTAAGGAGGAAAGAGTCAAAATCAAAACAAGAATGAGAAAAATTTCAGGCACACCTCAGAGATATTGTGGGTTCAGTTCTAGAGCAGCACAGGAAAGTGAATACTGCAGTCAAGTGAGTCACCTGAATTTTTGGTTTCTCAGTGCATATGAAAGTTATGTTTCTATATGCTGTTGTCTATTATGTGTGCAATAGGATCATGTCTAAAAAAATGTACATACTTTAATTTTAATTTTTAAAAAGTTAACTGTCTGCTGAGCCTTCACTGAGTCTTCATCTTATTGCTGGTGGACCATTGTTGATGGCTGCTGACTGATCGGGGTGGTGGTTGCTCAAGGTTGGCAATGGCTGTGGCAATTTCTTAAAATCAGGCTACAGTGAAGCTTGATACACTGATTGACTTTCCTTTTTCCTTGAATTTAAAGCCCCATTGTATGATTATTAATGGGCCTAATTTCAATATTGTTGTGTCTCAGGAAATAGAAAGATCCAAAGAGAGGGAGAGAATAAGTCAACTTGCAATAATAAAATTTTTTTTCTTAAAAAAGAAAACAAAAGAAAAGAAAGTGAAATGGAAAAAGGCCATCCAGTACCATGGAGAGAGCATGCCCTCTTGCAGGGTTGGAGTTCTAGCCTCAGCTGCACAAATATTGGGCAGGTTACTCAGCCATACTCAGCTCATGGCCTCAGCTGTGTATGTAAGTAGAATACTTGGTCCACCTGTGTGACAGGTGTTTGTGAGGGTTCAATTTGATTATGTGTGAAGCTCTTTGTAAATCAAGCATCCCTGAGATGTGAGGTAATGGCATTTTGAAATGATTACTTCTGTCCATTTAAGTATGAAGATTTTCTCTTATCCTGGTGAAGTAGAATGTAGATCAGTTAATTTACTTTCTGGCAGTGGTGGGAAGGGATTATAATTATATGTGTGTGTTCATGTGGCTCTATATATGCTGTATTGTTTGTTTCTTGCAGAAAAAGAGATTAGACCTAAAATGAAAGAGACTACAGCAAAGCTAAGCATTTCTGTGAAAGAAACTCACAAGGAAAACTTCATGAGTGATGGTTCCTGTGACTTCACTGGGAGACAAATATGTGCTGTACTTCACAAAATCCACACAGGAGAGAAATGTTACAATTGTCAGCATTGTAGGAAAGAGCCTTGTCAACAGTCATCCCTCATTTACCATAACAAAATTAATACTAGAGAGAAACCCCATGAGTGTCAAGAATATGGCGAAGCTTTTAGCGAACATTCATCCCTCATTATACATCAGAGAAATCACACTGGCAGGAAACCTTATGAATGTAATCAATGTGGAAAGACTTTTAGAAGAAGCTTTCATCTTGCTAAACATCAGGGAATCCACACTGGAGAGAAACTTTATGAATGTGATCAATATAGAAAGCCTTGTAGAAGTACCTCTGATCTTGCTCAACATAGGGCAATCCACATTGAAGAGAAAACTTATGAATGTGATCAGTGTGGTAAGTCTTTCACACAGATCTCCAGTCTTGCTGCACATCAGAGAATCCACACTGGAGAGAAACCTTATAAATGCAATCAATGTGGAAAGTCTTTCACACAGAACTCCCATCTTGCTGCACATCAGAGAATCCACACTGGAGAGAAACCTTATAAATGCAATCAGTGTGGAAAGTCTTTCACACATAACTCCCATCTTGCTGCACATCAGAGAATCCACACTGGAGAGAAACCTTATGAATGCAATCAGTGTGGAAAGTCTTTCACACATAACTCCCATCTTGCTGTACATCAGAGAATCCACACTGGAGAGAAACCTTATGAATGCAATCAATGTGGAAAGTCTTTCACACAGAACTCCCATCTTGCTGCACATCAGAGAATCCACACTGGAGAGAAACCTTATGAATGTAATCAGTGTGGAAAGGCTTTCACACAGAGCTGCAGCCTTATTAAACATCAAAGACTCCACACTGGAGAGAAACCTTGTGAATGTGATCAATATAGGAAGGCTTGTAGAAGTACCTCTGATCTTGTTCGACATTGGGCAATCCACTGTGAAGAGAAAACTCATGAATGTGATCAGTGTGGAAAGTCTTTTACACAGATCTCCAGTCTTTCTGTACATAAGAGAATCCACACTGGAGAGAAACCTTATGAATGTGGTCAATGTGGAAAGGCTTGTAGAAGTACCTCTGATCTTGCTCAACATCGGGCAATCCACATTGAAGAGAAAACTTATGAATGTGATCAGTGTGGAAAGGCTTTCACACAGATCTCCAGTCTTGCTGCACATCAGAGAATCCACACTGGAGAGAAACCTTATAAATGCAATCAATGTGGAAAGTCTTTCACACAGAACTCCCATCTTGCTGTACATCAGAGAATCCACACTGGAGAGAAACCTTATGAGTGCAATCAATGTGGAAAGTCTTTCACACAGAGTTCCAGTCTTACTGTACATAAGAGAATTCACACTGGAGAGAAACCTTATGAATGTGATCAATGTGGAAAGGCTTTCAGGTGCAGCTCCAGTCTTGCTAAACATCAGAGAATCCACACTGAAGAGAAACCTCATGAATGTGATCAATATAGAAAGGCTTGTAGAAGTACCTCTGGTCTTGCTCAACATAGGGCAGTCCACACTGAAGAGAAACCTTATGAATGTGATCAATGTGGAAAGGCTTTCACACAGACCTGCAGCCTTATTAAACATCAAAGACTCCACACTGGAGAAAAACCTTATGAATGTAATCATTGTGGAAAGGCTTTCAGGTGTAGAAGTCATCTTACTCTACATCAAAGAAACCACACTGGAGAGAAACCTTATGAATGTAATCAGTGTGGAAAGGCTTTCACACAGAGCTCACACCTTATTAAACATCATAGAAACCACACTGTAGAGAAACCTTATGAATGTAATCTGTGTGGAAAGGCTTTCAGATGCAAAAGCCATATTAGTCTGCATCAGAGAAACCACACAGGAGAGAAATGTTATAGATGTAATTAGTGTGCAAAGGCTTTGAGATGTAAAAGTGACCTTAGTCTACATCAGAGACTCCACAGTGGAGAGAGACCTTATGAATGTAATCAGTGTGGAAACTTACCATCAAAGCTCCAAACTTACCATCAAAGCTCCAAACTTACCATCAAAGAGTCCACACTGGAGAGAAGCCTTATGAATGTATGCACTATAGAAAGGCTTTCATGTGTAAAAGTGATCTTAGTCTACATCAGGGAAACCATACTGGAGAGAAACCTTATGAATATAATCAGTGTGGATAAGCTGTCACACAGAGCTCCAAACTTATTCAACATCAAAGACTCCTCACTAGAGAGAAACCTGTTGAATGTCATCAGTGTGGTAAGGCTTTCAGGTATAAAAGCCATCTTAGTCTACATCAGAGAATCCACACTGGAGAGAAACCTTATGAATGTAATCAATGTGGAAAGGCTTTCACATGGAACTCCAGCCTTATTAATCATCAAAGAATCCACACTGGAGGGAAACCTTATGAATGTAAATCAGTGTGGAAAGGCTTTCAAGTATAAAAGTGATTATAGTCTACATCAGAGACTCCACACTGGAGAGAAACTATATAAATGTGATCAATGTGGAAAAGCTTTCTGATTAAACTGGAAACTTGCTCTACATGAGATAATCCACATTGGAGAGAAACCTTATCAGTGTAATTAATGTGACAAGGCTTTCCCACTGAGCTCAAATCCTGGTCAACATCAGAGAATCCACACTTCAAAAATCTTACGAGTGTTTAGAATGTGATAAAACTTTATGTACACCATCTCCTTTCCAAACAAATCTGATGAATGAAAAGTCCATTTCTGGGTAATCATTTCCTTAATCCTGGCTAGTGAATATTTAATAAAAGAATAGTCATTTAGCTATCTCTTGTAAACCAAAGATGAATTTTGGATGCTTCTCAACACTTCTATGCCCTTAGATAAATGGATGTTACTAACAGGTAGAAATCATGCCTAATTGGTTAAAAATTATTGAGAATGAATATTATAAGCAGAGGTGGACTTACTCTATTGAGGAGCTGAAGGACTTGACTCATGACTCAATTTTGGTCAAATAGCCTTATCTCTTCCTAGAGCACCCATGCCTAGGGTTATCTAGACAAAAGGGGAAATCCACTTCCCCCAATACCTGTCTGACTAAAATACTGGACCAGTATTTACCCCAAGACTAAAATCTCTTTATCTTTTGGTTAGATGTAAACTTTCTAAGTTGGGTAAGTCTTGCCTAAAATTTCATCTCCTCATCAGCCCTGCCCTTCAGAGAATGGCTGAATCCCCTACAGGGGCTGATTTCTGAATGAGAATAGAAAACGGGGGGGGGGGGGGGGGGGGGTGTCAGGGGAGGGCCAAGCAGCACTCAGAGCTTAGGCCTAAATCAATAAGTGGTCATTAATATTAGAAAAATTATACTTGCTCTCACATCAGAGAATCCATTCTAGAGGATATGCCTTGTTAATATAATCAATACAAAAAAGCATTCAGGGTAAAGTCATATCTTATTTCCCATCAGAGAATTCCCATGAGATTGAAATGATATTCCTATAATGAATGTGGAAAGACATTCAGATGGTCTATAGAGCTTGTTAGACTCCAGAAAATTCATCTTAGGAACAAGCCCTACAAGGACTCAATGTGGGAATACCTTCAGCAGACCCACATAAAATAAAGAACCCACATAAATCATCGGCATTTCTATATTTTACCAACAAAACCCAACAGCAAGAGATAGGAAGAGAAATTCCATTTAAACTTAGTGTAGACATTATAAAATATTTGGGAGCCTACCTCTCGAAACAAACCCAGGAATTCTATGAACACAATTACAAAACACTTTTCACACAAATAAAATCAGATCTAAATAATTGGAAAAACATCAGCTGCTCATGGATAGGCCTAGCTAATAGAATAAAAATGACAATCCTACCTAAGCTAATTTACTTATTCAGTGCCATACCAATCAAACTACCAAAAAATTATTTTATAGTTAGAAAAAATAATAACAAGATTCTTTGGAAGAACAAAAGGTCCAGAATATCAAAGGAACTAATGAAAAGAAATGCAGGGGGAAGGTGGCCTAGCAGTTCCAGATCTTAAATTGTATTATAAAGCAGCAATCATCAAAACTGCTTGGTACTGGCTAAGAAATAGAATGGTGGATCAGTGGAATAGGTTAAATATGCAAGACACAGTAGTCAATGACTATAGTAAACTATTATTTCATAAACCCAAAGACCCCAGTTTCTGGGGACAAGAACCCACTCTTTGAAAAAACTGCTGGGAAAACTGGAAAACAGTATGGCAGAAACTAGGCATAGACCCAAATCTCACACCATATACCAAAATAAAGTCAAAATGGGTTCATGATTTAGATGTAAAGTCTGATACTATAAGAAAGATTTTTTTATTGGGTCTGTTTTAAGTTTTTAACATACTGCTTACATATTTCTGAATTCTCTTATATGATGTGATGTGGTAAGCAATTGTATTAGTTATGTTGCTGGAAGGGCAATCTCTTTTACAATCTAAAACGTTGTCAAATTAATTGGGCCTTCAGAGAAAAGAGAAAAAGGAATGAATCAGGGCTGTTGGGGCATTCTTTATGGTACTGTTTTGTAACATTTCCTTTTAAGAATTGTAATTTAAGAAATGAGAACTTCCAAGTTTTGTCTCTGTTTAAAGGTAAGTTTTAGCTGGGATTATTTGGCTTTCACTTTATGAAGTTTTAAATTGTTAACTAGGCTATTTGGAGTTATTGTTTAAGTGAATTACTGGTAGAAGTATTTTTGTGTATGTGTAAAGAAGCTATGTAATTATGCAAAGATAGATTTTGTAGGATCTCATAATTCTTGTCAATCCTGTGCAGGAGTTTTGTGAGATGGAACTCTTGCTGATTGAGTGGCCCATTGCAGACACCTCTGGACTAGAGAAATTGGATAGCTGGGAATTTTATGGTGATAATCATTTGGGATCAATTGAGCCCCAATAGGGGCCAGGGACCTGAGTTGCTTTTTCTTCCTGAGTGAGCTGAGAGTGCCCCTTCCTGTGTCCACAGCTAAAGCTGATCAAGAGCATTCTTATGTTTATGACCATAAGAGCCTTTAACCCAGACACTACCTTGATGATGGCAGAGCAAACACAGATATCCTGGATCTGACATTTGCCTATCCTAATTAAATTTCCTTTCTCATGCTCAGGTTAAACATTTGGAGGCCATGAAACTGAGTAACCCAGAAGTCCTGAGTCAGGGTTTAATGTCACTTATCACTAGCTTGTGTTCTCTTTAACCAACATTCAGGTCAACAATGGTAATTGGAAACTGTAAGCTGTTTTTAAGAAATGGAGATACTTTTATGAAGAAGATGTTTTGATAAAATCTTTGATATTCTTTTAGAGGGCCTACTAACTTTCCTTTTGCAAGCTAATCTGTTGCAATAATTTGGTACTGATAGCAATTATGTCCGAATCTACTGTGACTTATCTAAGTTTCATTCCTATGCATGTTGTGTCCTTGAATTGGCCTTAACCGGGTGCTTTCAGAGAAACAGAATCAATGGTTCTTGCTTCAGGTAGCATAAGAAAGGGCACTGGTCTCTGGAATGTAGGTCTGAAGGTTTAATGCCACACTCTAAACTTTTACGAGGTGGGTGTAGAACTGAAAAGGTTAGGACAGCTAAAACATCTTAGCAGATTCTGGAAGTTTTTGAGATTGATCATTAAGGAGTTTTCTAACACCTCCTTACAATGCTGTCGCTCCCTTCCCCCACTCCCTCCCCTTGAGTCAAGAGGGTTTCTCTGTGTGGGGATTCCAAACAGCTCCGGGTTTTTCTGTTAACCCCTTTCATCCCAGATCAGATGAGGAAGAGAGTGTTTCACCCCCCTCTCCGCTGCTTGCAAATTCACCTTTCCCTCCTGGCTATAGGAAGGAGGGGGATGGGCAGCAGCTACAGGCTGGAAGTATCTTCCAGCACACAGCGGTGAGGAGAGAGTAAAAGAGGATGGGTCAAGCCAAAGAAACCAGTCTGTGTCTATACTTGGTAAATCAGCCCATCCTTCTATCAATACTTTTACATGATCTGGAAACACAGTTGTTGCCATCTGAAGTTTATTGTTTATGTTACAGCTAAAACAATTTAGTTATCACTTATGAAAATTGTAAGATTGTTGGTTACTGTTTCAATGTTAAAAATTAAAACTGGTAATTGATTACTCTGTGTGTGTGTGTTGAAAAAGAGCAGTCTGAGGACTGCCCCTGAGGGACTAATCAGAAAGCACAACCCATAGAAATTCTAAAGTTAGAAGGGGTGGATGAGGCAGCCCCTTCTGTGGGATCCCTGCTGATCCTCCTTAGTATCCTAAACTTGCCCAAGAAGCTTGTTTGGATCATGGAATTCCTAAACAAGAAACTTGGCCTGCTGAGAATTTGCAAGTATATAGAAATGACTTCTAATGACTGGCTTTTGCACCAGAACAAGTTTAAATTTGAGAAGGAAAGATGTAAAGTGAAATCTCTTATGTATGTGAGTCCTGGTAGATCTTTACTGCTTATTGCTACTCCATGAGAATAAAATTAACTGTATCTGGCTTTCAGCTGCAATTTGTGAAATTTGCTGTTTAAGGTAAAAGGCTCTTGGAACTATAACTAATTTTGTTTTGAGCTTGAATTTGGGTACAGTTGTCCGCATTAAATCAGAAATCTGAGAGAGAGATGCCACAAGCACTTAAAAGGAATGTCATCCTGTACTGTTCTGCATCTAGGAAAACCTGTAAGGACAATCTTAACCTTAATCTAGGATGGGATCCTCCTGGCTCAGTTTCCCCATTGTGTTCCTTTGAGAAGGAATGTTTCCCACCTGACTATTCCTGAGTCTGGCTATAAGGAGAAACAGATACTGCATGATAACTAGAACATGTGTAGAAATGTATGCAAACTACTTGAGAGTCACCTTAAGATGTTCCCTTTGTTTAAAAGGATTGTAAGAGCAGTAGTATCTTTCCTGTAATCAGTCTCCTACTGCTACCAATGCGAGATTCTATTACAACACCTTGTGACTAAGGAACTTTGTGATATTTAGGAATTCTGTGATAACTAGGAATTTAGTTTCTTGATAATACGCTGGAATTTGTGTTACTTAAGGACCTTTGCTCCAGCTTAGGGTTTTATGAACAAGGGTGGAAATGCACGCAAGGTATTTGGGGCTCCCTTTGGAAATGTTCCTTAGGCAATGTGAGATTATACTCATATCCTAAACTTATTATTGGAACTTGTTATCCAAAGACTTAATGAGACTAATGACTGACTGTTTCTAACTCCAGATGTAACTATCAAGGAAGGCTGTCTGAGCCACTGACCCATGATGCCAGCAGTCCTGTTAAGGGCAAGTATGAACTGCAGGTATGGTTTTCTTGGAAGGTTGAGAGGGCAACTGTTCTGCATGTGCTGAGGTGCGACCCTCTTGACTTGATTCCTTACCTGAAACCTGGCAGACTTTAAGTCTTGCTCGATGCAGTTTGCAGTTTGACAGAACACTCTGCCTGGAGTTAACAGGAAGTTGGGGAAATATTGTTCCCTTGCTATAAATCTCTTATGTGTGTGTGTGTGTGTGTATATATATATATATATATATATATAAACTCTCTTAGTGGCAAGTTTCTATAATCAGAAGGTTTGCAAATACAGTAAGAAATTTACTAAAGTAATTGATTATGAAATATCTTAGGTTACTATAGAACTTGGACTAGTGTTCCTGTATGTATTCCCATAAGAGTTAGGATTCGTTAATTCTTGGTAATGGTATGGAGACACTTAGGTCAGGGGCTTGGGAGAAGGTTATTTCGTTATTTGGTTAATATCATTATCTAAAGTTTTGTTACATTAAAAGAGGAATGGCTGGTGGTTTATTTTGTAAATGCCATCAAAGAAACACGGCCTGAGTAAAAGTTTAAGACTTTATATGTACTGTGTTAAAATTGATTATTTAATATATTTATGTATGTAGGGAGCCTGAAATCTCATCCTCCTGGTGAGGAAATTAATAATGGATTAATGTAAAGTATGAGACACTGAGTTCTGATGTGAATTTCTTAAACATGACTACTGGCCATGGTTCCAATTTTGAGTTTGTAAAAATGATCAGGGTTATAAGGATTAGAAATGGTAATTTAAAATTGTGCTAAGGTCACTTTTGTAGGAGGATGGACAGAAAGCTGGTTCCTACAAGAAGACAAGTAGAAGATGCTAAGATGCTGTGCTAGAGATGGCTGGAACAAATACCAAAGACCAGAGGACTTCATTGACAATGTTCCCTGCCAGACAGCTGTATAGGAAAAGACTTTTTGAATCTTAAAGGGACAATTATATTATTGTTTTCTCTTGGGTCTCTGTATCTTCATTTATAAAGGGGACTACCCCTTTGATTCGTAAGGAAGTCAAGGAGGCAATGAAGAAGACATGATAGACAAATTTTATGGTTAGTCAAGGATTCTCTCTCAAAATTACTTCGATCAGAAGTTAGGGCAGAGGGATCCATGAAAATAATGATATAGAATCAGGTCAGATGGGTCAGGGATACAGGATGAGATAGTGAAGGGAGTGTATGGGGAGTGCTGTGAGGGGTTTTCAATGAGCCAATGAGAGGAGGGAGTGAATGGAATGTGGTGAAAACCCCTCATAAAATGTAAACTCAAAATACAGGCCTTTTGCCCAACTGTGTGAACAAATGGCTATATCATGTCTACCCGGGCACCTGGGGGTGGGGTGGGAACAGGAATTTCCCAGGGGTCTGCAGAATTCGAACATTTCAAGATAACCACGTCTGTTTGTTTGTATCCAGGAAGTTTTATGGCTTATACCTTCAAGGCTTGTAACTATGCCATAAGGGAAGGAGGTTGGGGAGGAGAACTGCAGTATGGATCTATAAAAAACCTGCTATATCTATGTTTGGTGAACTCTGACATTGAGAGGTTTTTCAGTGTGGATCACCCTTTCTCGAGATATCATAACAAAAATTATTTTCTGCTTTCTACCTTATGAAGCCTTTAACTTTAATTTGGAAAATAAGGATATCTGTCCAACACATCCCTGACCACTAGTTAACTTACTGACATAGCAGGCCTAAAACCACACCTCCATGTGGCCCACCTTGTGGGCTTTTCCTAGTGAACTCTGGGTAAAACACCTGCACACTAGGTACAAGAAATGCACGTTCTTTTAAGAACTGACCATTCCTTAACCACTCCCTAATTCCACCCTGAATCACCTAGTTACCATATTTGACACATGTTTTAATTGTATTTTATCGTATATAAACTTTAACTATGCCAGTCTAAGGTTGCAGGATCCTTAAGAATCCTTGCCCACTGAAAATCCTAACAATAAACTTTTTGCCAACTTGACTTCAGCCTTTGAGGGGTCACAGCCTCTCCAACCTCAACCTAGTGATGGAGGAGGAGGAGCTCTCGGAGATGAGCAGCCTGATGGATGGTGGCCCAGGTGAGTAATAGCCCTGGGGTGGAGTTTGGAGGCCTGGGAGGGGTTTAGGGCAGGAGAGGGATCATCCCAGGGGCCAAGGCATTGCAGGTGATGGAGGGCAGGGCTTGGGGAGGACAGGCAGGCAGGGTCTGGAGCTGCTGGCCCTCAGTGTGATTGGAGGAAAGGGCCCTTCCTGGGGTCCTCAAAGGCTGGGCAGAGACTAGGAAGACCCTCCCAGAGTGGGCTGGCTGAAAACAGGAACTTATGCTGTGATCTCTCTGCCCTTGGAATTGGAATCTCCCTTCCCTCCTTCACAGCTGAGATCACTGCTGCCTTCTCTTGGACCTCAGATCTCTGCTTTCTGGACACCAGCTTTGTAGGTGCAGGTCCCTCCTAAGTCTGAGCCAGCCCCTCACAGATCTGCTGCCTGTTCAGGCCATTGGATCTTATCCTCCTTCTCTGACCAAGTGGTGAGTGCCCTCCAGGTCTGCCTGGAGCAATCCTCTGGCCCAGGCCTGGCTACTGGACAAGGTTTCAGCTGCTCTATTTTGCAGACTCCCAAACACTTCCCAAATGTTCAGTCACTCTCTTTAGATTTAAGATTGGGTCACCTTTCCCATAATGCAAACCTTACCCATAGGGACCCAGGAATTCTGTCTCCCTGCCTCCAGCTTTTGGTTAGAGACCGAGTTGTTCTCCCTTCCAACCAAGCCCCTGTAAGGATGGAAAGTTCTGCCTGAGGGCAACTAGGTGGCCCAGTGGATAGAGCTCTGGCCCTGAAGTCAGGAGGATCTGAGTTCAGATGTGGCCTCAGACCAAACACTTGCCACTTCATAGATGTGTGACCCTGAGCAAGTCACTTAATCCCATTTGCCTAAAAAAAAAAAAAACAGTTCTGCCTACCCTGAGAACCTACTTTGGATGCAGGAACTAAAGCTCCTGCCTGGCCCCCAGCACCTGGGCTGCTTCGCTATCAGATCCCAGGCACTGGCTCCCTATGCTGGGTCTCCTCTGGGGGATTCCAAGCCTAAGCTCTACCACAGGGTCCCAGGAATCCTCCCCAGCTCCTAGTTAGACCTCAGCACACAGCCATCCTGCTTTCCCAGGCTCCATGTCCACCTGGAGCCCTTCTGTCACTCCAGTGTCCCTGATCTCCCTGCCATAAGCTGGGTGAGAATGTCTCCCTCCCAGGCCCTACCTGTGCACTCTTCCCCCAGGTCTCCTGCTTCCCTGCCCCTTTTCCTTCAGAGCCCTCAGGCCTTATGCCAGTGGGCTGAATCCCAGACTGGATTTTGTCTCCGAGCCTCAGGCTTTCCCTGGCCATTGCTGATGGATCCATCCCAGAGCTGTCCCCACCCCCAACCTTCCCTCCCTCCTAGGTCAAGCAGTCAGTCTGTTGTCTAGATGATGCATCTGTGTGTCTCTGTGTGTGTGTGTGTTGGTTGGGGAGAGGGGAGGCAGGGAGACCAGAGGACCAGTTGTAGGGAGAGCTCTGATTCAGGAGCCACTGAGGCTCTGCTGGTCTCACCCCATCTGGGATCCCAAACTCCTTCTGCCTCTTGGGTCTCTGTAGAAGAATGGAGGAGAGGAAGGGGACAGAAGAGAAGGAGTAGGAGAGGGTGGGATCATCTCATTTCCAGGCCAGACCTTTCATCTCATTTCATTTCCTAACCTGACCATTCCAGTAGGGGGCACTTTCACCCTGAGGGTAGTGCCACACCCCTGTAAATCCCTGCAGGCCAGCCTCCTGCCCTGAGGTCATTCTCCCTTTCCCTTCCCAGCTCCGTGAGCAGAAGACCAAGGTCTGACCCAGCAGGGAGCCTGGAGCCAGAGGGAATGTCCCATGGGAGCTGCAGACCTCCAGCCCAGGTGAGTGCACCCTGCCCTCAGACTTGACCCATATCAGCCAAAGAGGCCATTTCCAGAGACAAAGAGGATTGTCTCAGAGGCTGTCCATTGCCTACCTATGGATTGTTTCTTTGCAAAAATAGGCAAGGAATTGAAAACAGTAGAAACAACACTGCCCTTCTCTCTCCTTCTGTGTTTTGAACTGATTCTCAGCACTTTGGCATCACAAGCACTACATACTACCCTCCCCCGATCCCAGTTGCTGCCCTCCCCTGTTCAGTTTTGAAGTTTTCCCCCTTGATTCCTGAGTCACAAGGATGACCACTTCACTCATTCCTCTCTCTTCTGCTGGGGTCTTGTCTTTGCTCCCTTTAAGCATGCCTAGCCCCCTCCCCCACACATCCATAGAACTGCTCCCCCTCTGCTTTGCTTTTTTGGCCAAGCTCTCCCTGGCAAACCTTGAACACAGGATGCCCTGCTTAACCTCCAGGGTCCCAGCTGTACAAACAGTGTATCTGTCTGGTGCACACTGACTGGTCCTATCTTGTAGCTGGTTTGACCCTTAAGGGCACACTGAGAGGGCAGTGAGGGTTGAAAGGACCAAATACTATGAGCTGGGGCTGGGGGTGTTCTGCCCTCCTGCAACTCCAGAAAACATGTTAATTTGGCTTGTGGGACACATTAACATGTTCAAAGGCCCTTAGCTGAGCTGTTTGGAGCAAGCCAAAAGAAAGAATACCTTCTTAGGCTGTTAATTGGCATTTGTGAAGGGACTAGTACTTCCATTGTTAGAGAGGATACAAGGAAAGGGCTGAGTTTGGGGAATTATTCAAAGAGATTTCTTTTCCAGTGGGGGAAAGGAGGATATTGAAGGAGACACACAGTGCTTGTCAAAGAGGCATCAGGCTCAAAGCAAAGACACAATGGAGTGACTTACTTTCTCTCCAAAATCCACTTTTGATAATCTTCACAACAACTCCATATGGTAGGTATTCTTATTATCTTTATTTCACAGTTCAGGAAACTGAGGCAAACAGACCAGCCAGGGTCACATAGATAGTAAGTGTCCAATGCTGGATTTGAACTCAGATCTTCATGATCTTCTACCATTTCCTAGCTCCATCAGCATGGTATTAGTGTGCCCATCTTCCCAAACCCCTTCAGCATTGACTGGTGCCATTTTGTCAGTTTTGCAGAGTATGACATAAAGCCTCAGTGTTGCTTTGGTTTGCATTTCTCTTCCCAGTGGTTTGGAGCATTTTTTCATGTGGTTGGGAATACTTGGCAGTTCTTTTGATCATTCTTTCTTCATATCCTTTGACCATTTATCTACTGGGGAATAGCTGTTGTAGTTTTTTAATTGTTTCAGTCATGTCTGACTCTGTGTGACACACTTTGGGGTTTTCTTGGCAAAGATACTGGATGTTCGCCATTTCCTTCCCCAGCTCAGTTTACAAAGGAGGAACTGAGTCAAACAGGCTTAAGTGACTTGCCCAGGGACACATTGCTAGTAAGTGTCAGATCTAAATTCGAACTCAGATCCTCCTGATTCTAGGCCTGGTGCTCTATCTACTGGGCAACCTAGCTGCCATTAGCTATTAGTCTTTTTTACATACTATTTCATTTTTCCTCAATGACATTAAAAAATATTTTTTATTCCTAAGTTTTGAGTTCCCAAATCTCTACCAGCCTCCTTCCTCTTACCTGTCCTGCATATGGTAAAGAATCAGAAATAGGTTACACATATGCAGTCATGTAAAGTATTTCCATGTTAGTCATTTTGTGAAAACAACTTGAACCAAAAGAAAATGAAAACTAGTAGTATGCTTTAGGTCTGTATTCAGACTCAATGAATTCTCTCTATGGAGGGAGATAGTATTTTTCACCCTGAGTCTTTTGGGATTGTCTTAGATCATGATATTGCTGAGAACAGCAAAGTTATTTACTGTTGTTCACCCTACAATATTGCTGTTACTTTGTCCAAGGTTCTCCTGGTTCTGCTCACTTCACTTTGCATCGGTTCATGTAAGTCTTCCTAGGTGTTTCCGAAATCATACTGCTTGTCATTTATTATAGCACATTACTGTTCTATTGCAATCATATACCACAACTTGTTAATGCATTCCCTAATTATTGGGCATCTCCTCAATGTCCAATTCTTTTCCACCACAAAAAGAGATATTACAAATACCCTTCCCCTAAATAGGTCATTTTCCCTTTTCATTGTCTTTGGTGTACTTTGCTACACTGACTTAGTAGTGTTACTGCTGGATCAAAGGGTACAAACAGTTTTATAGCCCTCTGAGTATAGTTCCAAAGTGTTCTCTAGAATGATTGGATCAGTTCACAACTCCACCAAGATTACATGAATGTCCTAGTTTTCCTATTTCCCTCCAATATTTATCATTTTCCTTTTCTGTTTTATTATCCATTTTACTAGGTGTGAGGTGGTAACACAGAGTTGTTTTAATTAGCATTTCTCTAATCAATAGGGAATATTTCTATATGATTACAAATAGGTTTTTTTTTTGATGAGGCAATGGAGTTAAATGACTTGCCCAAGGTCACACAGCTAGTGAGTGTTATGTGTCTGAGGTTGGATTTGAATTGAGGTCCTGCTGACTCCAAGGTCAGAGCTCTATGCACTGTACCACCTAGCTGCCCCATTGCTTTGATTTCTTTATCTGAAAACTGCGTGTTCATATCCTTTGACCATTTATCACTTCGGTCATGACTTACAAATTTGACTCAGAGCTCTATATATTTGAGAAATTAAGCCTTTATCAGAGATACTTGCTGTAAATTTTTCCCCCAGTTATTAGCTTTGTTTCTAATCTTGATAGCATGGATTTTCTTTTTGCAAAAAAAAGAATTTTAATTTAATACAATCAAAATGACCTATTTTATATTTAGTAATACATTCTCTCCTAAATTCTTTCCTTATTCATAAATCTGATAGGTAAACTATTCCATGTTCTGCTAATTTGCTTATGATATCCCTTTTTATGTCTACATCACATACCCTCTAAGGTAGATGGTGCCTTATCTTGATATACAATGTGAGATGTTGGTCTACACCCAGTTTCTTCCATATCATCTTCCATTTTTCCTAGCAGTGTTTGCCAAATATTCAGTTTTTGTTCCAAAAGGTTGAGATTGGTGTAGCACTGAATATGTAGGTTAATTTAGGAAGAATTATCATTTTAATTATATTGGCTCAGGCTATCCACGAGCAGTTCATATTTTTTCCACTTGTTTAGATCTGACTTTAAGAAAATCCTTTTTAATTGTGTTCTTATACTTTCTGGGTTTGTCTTAGAAGGTAGAGTCCCCAGTATTTTTTACCATCCTCAGTTATTTTAAATGGAATTGCTTTCGGTCTTTTGTTGCTGGGTTTGTTGGTAACATATAGAAATGTTGATGATTAGGGCAGCTAGGTGGTGCAGTGAATAGAGCGCCGGCCCTGAAGTCAGGAGGACCTGAGTTCAAATGCGGCCTCAGACCAAACACTTGACACTTACTGGCTGTGTAACCCTGGGCAGGTCACTTAACCCCAACTGCCTAAAAATAAAAAAAAAAGAAATGTTGATGATTTACATGAGTTTCTTTTATATCTTGCAACTTCACTAAAGTTGTCAATTATTTCACCTAGGTTTTGAGTTGATCATCTAGGATTCTTTCAATATAGGATCATACCATCTTCAAAGAGTGACAAGTTTGTTTTCTTATTCCTTATTGTAATTCCTTCCATTTCTTGCACTTCTTCTTGCTATAGCTAGCATTTCTAGTACTATAGAGTGAACAATAGTGGTGATACTGGGCAGCCTTGCTCCACTCCTGATCTTAACAGATGTTTGTTGACAGTTGTAGATAGATATTACTTATTATTTTATAAAAACCTCGCTTTTTTCACTGTGCTCTCCTAGTGTTTTTAAAAAGTGCATTTTGTATTTCATCAAAGGCTTTTTATGCTTCTACTGAGATAATCACATGATTTCTTTGAGTTTTCTTATCGATGTGGCCAATTATGCTGATACATTGTGCATGTAGCAGTTTGGAAATATAGATAACTTCTCAGAAGTATCAAGGTATTTTCAAATTTGGCCAGCCCTTCCTGCATATGTTCCTTTCTTTTCTTTTGTACTCCCAAGTTTCCAGAGTTCTAGTGGCATATTTACATCTTTTATTTCTCTTGAAGAAACTTTCTCATGAATTAGCTGAAACATAACCTACATTAACTGAATTTTTGCTATTTTAATGTATGAAGGAACTTTCCACAATTACTCTTGTTTCTCTGTGACTCAATAGCAGAGTATGAATCGATTCTCTGCTGCTTGTGCTAATGTTGTCCTGACAATAACACCAAGAAAACAGAGGTGGTCAGAAAGGTCAAGAATGTTAAGGGAATCAATGAAAAAAAAATATGAAGGAAGATGGTTTAGTTATATTATAAAGCTTGTTAAAATGGTCTGGTAGTGGTTAAGAAATAGAGTGGTAGATGAGTGGACCAGATTAGGTACAAATTACCTTATAGTAAATGACCCTAGTAATCTGGCATATGATAAACCCAAAGAGCCAAACTTTTGGAACAAAAACTGCTGGGAAAACTGAAAGACAGAATGGCAGAAAGTAGGTATAGATCAACATCTCATACTGTATACGAAAATAAGCTCGAAATAGTACCTGATTATGCACATGAGTACATAAAGGATTGTAACATATACAAATTAGGAGAGTATAGATTCATTTATCTGTCAAATTTATAGTTAAGGGAAGAATTTATGACCAAACAAGAGACAGAGAACATTAGAAAATGTAAAATCCATATTTGTCATCATATAAAATTGAAAAGTTTTAGCACAAACAAAACCAATGCAACTAAAATTATAAGGAAAGCAGAAAACTGGAGAATTCTTTTCCAAGTATCTCTGATAAAGGCCTCCTTTTTGAAATATATTGAGAACTGAGTCTAATTTATAAAAATACAAGTCATTCTCCAATTGACAAATGATCAAAGGATGTGAATAGACAGTTTTCAGAAAAAAAAAACCAAAGCTATCTATAATCATATGAAAATATGCTCTTAATCACTATAGATTAAAGAAATGCAAGTGAAAACACCTCTGAGGTACCACCTCACACCCATCATATTGGTTAATATCTTTTTAAATTCTTTTTTTTAGGCAATTGGGGTTAAGTGAGTTGCCCAGGGTCACACAGCTAGTAAGTGTCAAATGGTTGGTCTCAGGGAAGATCTGAACTGAAGTCCTCCTGACTTCAGGGCCTGTGCTCTACCCACTGTACTGCCTAACTGTACCTCATATTTCCTAATATGACAAAAAGGGAAAATGATGGATGTGGGAGGGTACATTGGAAATCTTTATTAATGCATTAATTCACTGTTGGTGGAGTTAGAAACTGAACCAACCACGCTAGAGAGCAATTTGGAGCTATGCCCTAAGAGGTATGAAACTGGGCATAATTTTTGATCCAGCAATACCATTGCTAGATCTGTAACGCAAAGACATCAAAAAAAAAAAGAGGAAAGGATCTATTTGTACAAAAATATTTATAACAGCTCTTTTAGTGGTGGGTAAGAGTGGGAAATCCAAGTGATACCCATTGATTGGAGAATGGCTAAACTATCTGTGGTATATGATTGAAATGGTATATTATTATGTTCTAAGAAATGAGGAGGAGGGTGATTTCAGAGAAACCTGGAAAGACTTACATGAAGTGATGTAGGGCGAAATGAACAGAACAAGGAAAACATTGTACACAGTAAAAGCAATAATGTTCAGTGAAGAACTGTGAGTGACTTAGTCATTATCAATCAAATCAATCAAACAATACAGTGATCCAAGAAAATCCCAAAGGACTAATGATGGAGCATATTATCCACCTACACAGAAAGAACTGATATTGTTTCCATATAAATTGAAGCATGTTATTTTTCACTTTCATTCATTTTCTTAATCTTCCTGTATAAAACAACTAATATGGAAATGTTTACATGATTGCACATGCATAACTAATATCTCATTGCTTACTGTCTCAGAGAGGAGGAAGGAAGGGAGGCAAGGAGGAATGGAGAAAGATCATTTCTCAAGTTAGACTGCCAAGCATTCACACTCTGCTGCAGAGAGCACAACTTCAATGGGCTGATCATGTTCAAATGCCAAAAGGATGTTTCCTTAAAAGACTATTTTACAGAGAACGCACACAAAGAAGGTGGTCAGAAAAAGTGATACAAGGGCATTCCCATGACCTCTCTAAAGAACTTTGTAATGAATTGTGAGCCATGGGAGATATTGCCAAAGGACTACCCAGCATGGCTGTCCTACATCAAAGAATGTGCTGTGCTGTGGTGTTTGAGCAAAGTAGCTCAAAAGAATGGTGAGATGTGCAAATTCAGAGCCATCTCCAGCCCAAATGTTCACATGGACTATTTGTGCCCAACCTGGGGTGGAGCCTTCTGGGCTTTAGTAGTGTGATCATCCATGGTCAGACACACTTTGTCCCTGACATAATGATGTCATTTTGGTCCACTTTGAGCAAAAAGAACAACAAAAATGACCAACTGTGGAAACCACATATTTAAATAAAAAATGTTATTGATGAATGAAAACAATCATAAAGTGAAGGCATAAGATATTGTGGCCATGACAAATCATACCCAGGGTAGCTTCAAGCCCTCAAAGTAACAACAGATAACTCTCCTTGCTTGGCTGGAAAGTCTCATAATCCTAAATTCAGTCCAGATTGTAATTAGTATGTCTCTAGAATCCTTTCCATGTTTCATCTAGATAAGACTTTGTTTTAGCTTCTCAGGAAATAAATAAATCTTTTCTTTTCTTTCCCCTCTTCTGTATTCATACAAACTCAGCCCCTCTCCCAAATAAACTGTACTTGTCAACTTCCCAGAAACCATTTTCAAATTTTTTTAATAATATATTCCTTCTATTAGTTCTGAGAAACAGAAATTTCAGATCATCTTCTATCTGCCTATTCCACAGAATTTCCTACCTCACAGTTAAAACACATACTTTGCCCCAGGTTTTATAGTGAGACACATTCCATAGTAAGACCTGTCTCAACTTCATTCCAGCTGACCATATGAAATACTTTGCTCAATATTCCATTGGGCTCTTCATGATGATGGTTTCAAGTGCTGACTCTGACACTCCTCAAGGGTACAACCTTTGAGTAAATCTACTTTCTGTGTTTCAGTTTCCTCCTCTCACTTAATGAGGGTTAGACTACAGGAATTCTGGAGTCTCTTTCAGCTCCAAATCTTGTGACTTTTGATGGTTTAGGAGCTGGTAACATTCCAGGATGTGGCTGTGGACTTCACCCAGGAGAAGTGAGACTTCTTAGACCACCCTCAGAAGCAGTTGTACAAGGAGGTCATGCTGGAGAATGCCCAGAAGCTGCTCTCCCCGGGTAAGGACACTTCCCCTGATCACTCTGAGTATGCAATCCAAATGAATATCTTCATTCCTGAGTGTGCTGGCTTTAGAGCATTTATCAGTTACTGGAAGTTACTAGAAGAGAAAAGTGCTGGTCTCCTGTGCCCAAGAGACAGGGTCCCCTCCTGCCTGGTTTTCCTATAAAAGGTCAGTACATTGGTTGAAGAGAAACTGGAGTTTTCCTGGTTGCTCCTGAAGTTATCTCTTCCCATTTCTAGTTAGCTTGAGGTCAAAGATCAGACCAGAATTGAAGCATCTCAGATGTGGAAATAATCCCACATTATGTAGTTCAGCCTGTCCCTGGACATGAATTTTGTCTGCCAAGTCTCTGGAAACTGCTCAGGTGGCTTTTCCTTGTGACCCCTTCCTCTTTGGGATGGCCCTACAGTATGGAACATTCTTCTTAAGAAGCCTCAATTTGTAGCTCACAGCTCCTACATATGACTGGTATGCCAGGTTTGTCCTGAATCTTCCTTTTCAGTGCCCCCATTCCAGCACAGATGGTGGGAAAAAAGGAAAGGAATAATCATTTTCTCATTTTGTGCTTTTTTTTTTTAATTAGGCAATAGGATTAAGTAACTTGGCCAGGTCACACATCTAGTAAGTGTCATGTGTCTGAGGCTGGAGGGAATAAGCCTTTCTATTCTACCTGCTGTTCACCAGCTGTTGTGCTAAGTGCTTTCTTTACAATTTTATGTCTTTAGGTGATATTATTGTCCCCATTAGATATCTGAGTAAACTGAAGCAATTAGAGGTTAAGTGACTTTACCAGACATACACATCTAGTAACTGCCTGAGGCTGGATTTAAACCCTGGCATGCCTGACTCCAGGCCCAGGGCTCTGTCCACTGTACTACCAGCTGCTTCTACTTTTCAGATAATCATAACTATGCAATGAGTCCATCCTTCTATGAAGAAGGTTTGCCAAGACCAAATTTTCTGATTCCTAATTGGCTCTGTGATCTCCCCCACCTCTCCTCAAAGCTCCGACAATAAATGCTATGGAAACTGTGCTTAAGGAGTCCTGGAAACCATCCTGTGCTCCTTGTTTGCAAACCCCTGTCAAAAGCAGGAATAACAGACTGGCCAAGAATCAGAATTTGAACTAAGTAAGGTTCATTGAGCTCCCCAGCAGGAGAATCCCACCGGAGGAGTCAAAGTCTCCTTGAATGAACAGTAACAAGGTGTTTATAGGTTTCAGGGAGTGAGTAACAGGGTAGGGGATAGGGCCAAAGCTAATTCTTCATGGTTCCTTTTGCTGGAGCTCAAGGCTGATCTGGCACACTCTATTTTGGGTTGCTTACACTGTAACCATTAATGGGAGAAGCCAGGTATATGTGAACATGATGGAGTGATTCTCAAAATGTGGTAGCTTTGTATAACACACAGTTTTCCCTAGGGAAATCTAAATTACAGGTTTTCTCTGTCCTCATCCTTGATTCCCTGTGCCCAGGGCTGCCAGTTCCCAGGGAAGATTTGATCTCCTATTATGAGGAAAAGGAAGCACCATGACTCCTGTACATGAAGGCCTGAGGAGCTGCTGCCCAGGTGAGTGAGGTGAAAGCAGGTGGATGAGAGCTGTGATGACAAGAGGCTTCTAGGTGTGGAGGTGAAGCAAGTGCTATGTTTGGAGGCAGGAAAACCTGACCTGGAATTCTTTTTTACACACTTTTTCCCAGTGGCATCCTGGACAACTTACTGAACCTCTGAGTCCCAGCTTCCCGATGTGTAAAATTGGGGAGTTGGACACTTTCAGCTTTCTTCCAGTGATAAATCTGTGATCCTATAAAAACTCATTGTTTAGAATTTGGAGGCAAGGACTTTTTTCAAAATACAAAAATGGGTTAGACTTCCCAATTTGAGTTCTTTCGTAGACTTTCTTTAAGTCAATAAACATTTATTAAGTGCCAGCTATGTGCCAGACCCTTTGCTAAGAAACCAAGATATAAAGAGACACAAGGAACATCCCCTGCTCTCCTGGAGCTTAGAAAGTGGGTGGGTGGGAGGTTGAGGCAGATGACATACCAACAGCTATGTAGAATTCTTCTATGGAGAGGAGCTCATTGAGCTAGGGACACTGGAAAGGCTTATTGTGGAAGGAGGGCTCCAGCTGGGGATTCAGGGAAGCCAGGGTGAGCATTCTAGGCACAGGATGGTTAGGACAGCCTGTAGAGTCAGGTGATGGAGTGTCCTGTTCACAGAAGACAAGGGATGCCTGTAACACTGGAGTGTAGCATGTTGGGTGGAGATATAAGGTGAAGGAAGACTGGAAGAGTGGGAGAGGGGTAGGTAAAGAAGGGGTAGATGATTAATAGCCCCAGAGGGGATTTTACATTTGATCCTTTTCCTAGGTAGACATAGCGCATTGTTGAGAACGTGGTGACATGGTCAGTCAAAACTTTTGGAAGATAAATTTTGAGAAGTGGGTGGAGGAATGCCTGGAGTGGGGGGAGACTTGAAGGAGCTGGGCCACACAGCAAGTTCTTGCAATACCTCAGGTTTGAGGTGATTTGAGCCTGAACCAGGACACTGGCAGTGTTGGGAGAGAAGGGGGTGAATGGGAGAGATGTTACCTAGGTGGAATCACAGGACTTTGCAGTAATTTGAATATGGGGGTCAGTGTGAGAGTGAGAGGTGCGTGACACCTCATTCGTGAGTCAGCACTATTGACAGGATGCCTTGGACAGCCTTAGGCAAGTAGGAAGACAGGAGAGCTGAGGGAAAAAGAATGAGTTTAGTTCAGATACAGTAGGAGAAGCAGGAGAGGAGTGTCACTACAACTCACAGAGAGAGAGAGAGAGAGAGAGAGAGAGAGAGAGAGAGAGAGAGAGAGAGAGGAAAAGGTGATTTATTGTGTCAAAGACTGCAGAGAAGTCAAAAAAGGATGAAGATGAAGAAATGGCCAGTCGATTTAACAGCTTTTGAGTGCTGGTAATTTTGGAGAGGAGTTTCCATTGAAGAATGAAACTGGGAACCAGACTGCAGAGTATTTCAGAGAAAGCAAAAGGAAGGAGTTGGAGACAGCAGTTGTAAATGGGCATGTCCAGCTAGTAACAGGTTAAGGAAGGGAGTAGAACTAGGGAGGAAAGAGTGAAAATCAAAACAAAAATGAGAAAAATTTCAGGCACACCTCAGAGATATTGTAGGTTCTGTTCTAGAGCATCACAGTAAAGTGAATACTGCAATCAATTAAGTCACATGCATTTTGTAGTTTCTCAGTGTATACAAAAGTTAGGTTTGCTATATACTATTGTCTTAAATGTGTGTACTGGGGGCAGCTACTTGTCACAGTGGATAGAGGAGCAGACCTGAAGTCAGGAGGACCTCAGTTCAAATCTGACCTCAAACCAAACACTTGACACTTAGTAGCTGTGTGTCCCTGGGCAAGTCACTTAACCCCAATTGCCAAAAAATAATAATAATGATAATTTAAAAAATGTATATACTCAAACTTAAAAATATTTCATTGCTAATAAAAGCTATCTCTCATCTGAGCCTTCAGTGAATTATAATCTTGTTACTGATGGTGGCTCTAGACAAATGTTGATGGCTGCTGACTAACCAGGGTGAGGGTTGCTCAAAGTTGGAAGTGGCTGTGGCATTTTCTTAAAACCAGTCTACAATGAAGTTTGCCACAGTGATTGACTCTTCTTTTCACTTAAACTTATAGCTCCATTGTGGGGTTATTAATTGGCCTAATTTGAATACTGTTCTGTCTCAGGGAATAGGAAGACCTGAAGAGAGGGAGAGAAGATGTCAACATACAATAATAAAGTAATTTTTCTAAAAAAAAAAAAAAGAAAACAAAGTACAATAGAAAAAGGCCATCTAGTACCACGGACAGAGCATGCCTACTTGCAGGTTTGGAGTTGTAGCCTCAGCTGCATACATGTTGGGCAGGTCACCCAGCCATTCTGAGCTCATGGCCTGAGTTGTAAATATAATGTGAATGCTGGCCTTGCCAGTGTCATAGGGTTATGTGAGGGTATGATGTGATTGTGTGCGAAGCTCTTTGTAAATGAAGCATCCCTCAGATGTGAACTAATGGAATTTTAAAATGACTGATTCTGTCCATTGAACTTTGAAGACTTTTCTCTTAGACTGGGGAGGTAGGATGTAGTTCCTGTTTTCTCACTCATTTACTTTCTGGCAATGGAGGGAAGGGATTATAATTATATATGTGTGTACATGTGTCTTTATGTATGTTTTATTGTTTCTTGCAGAAGGAGAGATTGGACCTGAAATGAAAGCAACTACAGCAAAGCTAAGCATTTCTGTGAAAGAAACTCAGGAGGAAAGTTTCATGAGGAATGGTCCTTGTGACTTCACTGGGAGACAAATCTGTGCTACCTTTCGCACAATCCACAGAGGAGAAAAACCTTATGATTGTCATCATTGTGGGAAAGTGTTGAGTCAACAGTCATCCCTTATTTAACATCAAAAAATTAATCATGGAGTGAAACCAAGTGAGTGTCATGAATGTGGTAAACTTTTAGTGAACACTCATACTTCATTATACTTCAGAAAATTCACATTGGCAGAACACCTTATGAATGTAATCAGTGTGGAAAAGCTTTCACACAGAGGTCCAGCCTTGTTAAACATCAGAGACTCCACAATGGAGAGAAACCCTTATGAATGTAATCAGTGTGGAAAGGCTTCCACACAGAGCTCCAACCTTATTGAACATCAAAAACTCCACACTGGAGAGAAGCCTTATGAATGTAATTAATGTGGAAATTCTATCATGTGTAAAAGTGATCTTAGTCTACATCAGAGAATCCACACTGGAAAGAAACCTTATGAATGTAATCAGGGTGGAAAGGCTTTCAGTTACTGCTCCAATCTTGCTGTACATCAGACATCCATACTGTATACAAACCTTATGAATGTAATCAGTATGGAAAGGCCTTCAAATGCAGGACCAGTCTTTCTGTCAATGAGAGAATGCACACTGGAGAGAAACCATATGAATGTTATCACTGTGGAAAAGCTTTCTGACTAAACTGGAAACTTGCTCTGCATGAGACAATCCACATTGGAGAGAAACCTTACCAGTGTAATTAATGTAACAAGGCTTTCCCACTGAGCTCAAATCTTGTTCAACATCAGAGAACCCACAATGGAGAAATCTTATGAGTGTTTAGAATGTGATAAAATTTTATGTACACCATCTCCTTTCCAAACAAATCTGATGAATGAAAAGTCCATTTCTAGATAATCATTTCATTAATTCTGGCTAACATAATTCTGGTTAATATAATCAGTAGAAAAAAAGCATTCAGGCTAAAATCATATCTTATTTCCCATCAGAGAATTCCACTGACATTGAAATCATATTCCTATAATGAACATGAAAAGACATTCAGATGGTCTACACAGCTTGTTACATTCCAGAAGATTCATCTCAGAAACAAGCAAACACTCTATCAGATCTAATCCCCTAAATCTATTCATCACTTCTACTTCATATCAGTAAGTAATGTTGTTTAGGGCATAGCTATAGGGTTTAATGGCTTTCCCTATTTTCTTTGTGTCTGAATTTTGTAATTAGAACCTCACATTCTGAGCCTCACTTAGCTCCAGGTAATGTTTTGATGAATTGTATAGAACTTCACCTCATCTGCCTTTTTTCCCTAGAAAATATTTTAGATTTTCATAGAAATGAGAGGCTTTGGCTTCTTTGGAATTAGTCATTGGGAGATAGACTGGTTAGTGTGATGTTGAATGTTTTGCCTTAGATTTCAACAGTACTTGATTATAAGTTGGAAAATCTTGCTGAAGATAAACTTTATGGATCTAATTAGCAAGGTTAAGTCTCTTGTTCAAGACCTCCTTAGATCTCCCAGTAGGAGACCTCGTTAAACATCCAAAATTACTTACTGTGAATAAACCCCTACAAATGTCATGACTTTCCCCCTTGAAATCTTAATGTTTCCCATTACTCTACAGTAATATTCCTTTGAATTCCTGTACTTATTTTCTTTAGCTGTTCAACAATTGATGGTTACTCACTTTGTATCTTGTTCTTTGCTGGCACAAAAAGTTCTGGTATGAATATTTTGATAGTTGACTGCAATCCCTGTAGAATCTTACAATCATACCTGGGCCAAGTGATTTTCTATGTAAGATAATTTGGAAAATATATTCAATGGAATTGATGTCATTTGACTGGCAACATGTTTTTCTTTAAATCTGTCTTGTTAAAACAGTAAGATGTATTTTAAATCTGTAACATTGCTTTTGTTATTATTATGCTTCAAAGTTTCCTTTCATTTTGATTTTGAGAAATTATTTGATAACCAAGATGGTTAATTTTTACAATGATACCGAGAGGGTGATACAATTGTTTTCTTAGGAAATCAACTTCTCTTCATCTGGACACTGTGAAATGATGAATTAAACTGTTAGAGAATGTGGTTATAATGTTTTAACACTGCTTTTAGTTCATTGCATATGTTTGGTTTTAAAAAGAACAATCAGAATAACTTACTATTTGGGAAAAGCAGAACAGACTTTTAAATTCTGCTCATCCTGGAAGTTCTTTGGGGACCAACCAAGTGCTTTGGGACCTCCTTTTTGGGCAAGGTCACAAAATCTTGTTAGCCCTGGGAAAGAAGTTGCTTAAAGAAGAGACTGTCTAATTCTAAAGTAATGAAGTGCTTTACTGAGTCATTAAGACCTCTAAGAGCCAAAGTCGGGTTGAGGGAAGGGAAACTTACAAGTTTCTTTATCATGTACAAGTTTTATGAGAATGTATTTGGCCATTGGTTATGAAACTGATGAAATTTCACCTAGAGTAATATGTTTGGCAGTTATATCTTTGCCCCAGCTCTGACTTAACAGATTCCAGCTTGGATTCAAAGTGTTGCCCCTTCCTTGTGTAGAATTAATATTATTAGATCTTAGAATGCAGAAAATAAGAAAATGGCTCCACTCCCCATGATTGGGGACTCACTCATGGCAATTCAACAAGCACTGATTATGTGTTAAGTGCTGGGGTGCAAAGCAAGGTGAAACAGCCCCTGCCCTCAAGGAGCTCACATTCCAAAGGGTTTTGGTCAAGTAATTAAGTCAACAAGATTTTGCTAAACATCTGCTTTGGTCTAAGCAACTAGTAGGCTCTTGGGATTCCAAGAATAAATAAAGAAAATAGAAGACAATTTGCAAACAACTTCATATAGATACATACATACATACATACTTACTAGGAGATCTAGTGGACAGAGTACACAAGAAGACCTGAGATCAAATCTGGTCTCAGAAACTAGCTAGTTTGCCTCAGTTTTTTCTACTGTAAAATGGACTTAATGGGGCCTACATATCAGGATTGTTGGGATCTAATGAGCTAACATTTGTGAAGTGCTTGTGGCTGGCACAAAAGCAGGCACTTTTAAAAGTTTCTTTCCTTGTTTACTACATACAAGGTAAATTGCAGAAAATCAAACAGAGACAGTGGACCAAGGAAGGCTTCTTCAAGTAAGCCAGGAAACAATGAGGCTAAGACAAGGAGGGACAGCTTTCAAGGCATGCTGGGGAGGGGCAGTGGTGGAAATCAGTGAAAATGCAGAGTCAGTGGGGTCATCTCCACCATGGCAGAGTAAAGGCAGGGACTTCCCTGAACTCTCCCCTAAACCCTTAACAAATACCTCTAAAAAACTTACTCTAAACAAATACTAGAGGAGCACAAACCACAGAAAGATGGCAAGAAAAAAATTTCTCACCCAAGAGAACCTGGAAGTTCGACACGAAAGGTCTGTTGCACCAGACTGAGTCACACAGTTCATGCTAACACAGAGCAGGCCTCAGGGTGACTGAATTAGACGTCTCCAGACCTCTCAGCCCACAGATGCCAAAGACAACTTAGGTCAGCATAATGCAGCACAGTCCTGGCCACAGCAAACCAGGAGCAGGTGTTGGGAGGGACTGAATCAGCAGGGGTAGTGGCAGTGGCTACTTCTCGAGTTCTCAGCCTACAAACGATGACGGGGTCTCTTTGCTAGCACTGGGGCAGGACTCTGTTGCTTTGCCCACACTTGCTTCTGGATTGGAGTCCTAGGGTGAGGAGGAGCACTAGCATAGCAGAGCTTGAAACTACAGTGTGGAGGACACCCACCTCACAGTTCCAAGACAGAAGAGTGCTTGTGGTCACTCACGGACCAAAGTATAAGCCAGGAGAGTAGTAAACTCCTCCCCTTAGATCATACCACCTTGGAAGAACTCAAAATTCACAGGTCCGTAGAAGTATCTCTGAAAAGGGCTGCACAAGAGCCCTGAAACTTTGGACAGTATACCTTCTACACTGGAAGCAGAGCCACACCTTAAAGAGGTAAAAAGGCAAGAAATAGGCTGGGAAAATGAACAATTAATGGGGGAAAAGATTCTGACTACAGAAACTTACTTTGATGACAAAGAAGATGAAAACACTCAGAAGAAGACAACAAAGTCAAAGGTCCTACATCCAAAGCCTCCAAGAAAAATATGAATGAAGCCCTCAGTGCAGAGTCCTTGACTTCCTACGAGACAGAGCCTTTTAGTGGGCCAGCTAAGAAACCTCAAGGTGGCCCTTCCAGCCCACCACACACTGACTCAGCTGTAGGCTCATGCCTCCCACCACATCCCCTTGTTTCCCTTTATGGTCACAGGCACATAGTATCATCATTAAGTGTTCAGTTTCCCCAACAACTTTCTATGGAAAATCAAGGGAAGTGGGCCATGTCTGCCATGAGCAACTCTGAAGAGCAACATGCCCTCAGAGAAGCTTGATCCAGGTGTCATCATGGTGAGACCTCCAAATCAGGGCTGCAGCAGAGTTCCTCTGTCTCATCTTGCTCAATCTTTCCATTTCTCTTTTGCTCCTGGGAAGTAGCAGAAAGCCCACATATGGTGAAGACAAGATACATGAACTCTGCTGTGGGCCAGTATGCCAGTGCTGGCCACTGTGCCTTCACCGTGTTTCGGGAGGAAGGACCCCAAGCCTTCTATGAAGGGTTCATGCCTTCCTCTGCTTGGGCTCCTGGAATGTAGTGATGTTTGTCTCCTATGAGCAACTGAAATGAGGCCTGATGGCCACTCACACTTCCTGGGAAGCTGCTTTCCGAGCCATCTCCTGCTACCTTTCTGCCTTTTATCCCTCCCCTTTGAGTCTAGACCCATCTTGCCTCTCCTCCCCCATTTCCTCCCTATTCTTCTCCTCCCCTACCTTAGCTTTCAAGGAACCCCCTATAAACTCCCACCCACTTGGATTTAGACCATTTAAACCTTCTCCAGCCCACTTCTCCTGCCATTGCATCCTCACTCAATTCTTAACCTCCTTACTTCTACTAAAGCCAGACCAGAACCCCCTTCTTCCCCCCCAAAAAAAGAAAAATATGAATTGGTCTCAAGCCAGGGAAAAGCTCAAAAATGATTTTGAAAATCAAGGAAGAGAGATAGAGGTAAAATTAGGAAGGAAAATGAGTGATGGGAGAGAATCATGAAAAAATGAATCAATGGCTAGGTGAAGGAGACCCCAAAAATACTGAAGAAAATAACACTTTAAAAAATAGACTGGGGGAGCTAGGTGGGCGCAGTGGATAGAGCACCGGCCCTGAAGTCAGGAGGACCTGAGTTCAAATCCGGCCTCAGACCAAACACTTGACACTTACTAACTGTGTGACCCTGGGCAAGTCACTTAACCCCAATTGCCAAAAAGCAAAAAAATTAAATTAAATTAAAAAATAAATAAAAATTTAAAAAAAAATAGACTAGAACAAATGGCAAAAGAGTTCCAAAAAGCCAATGGGGAAAAGAATGCTTTAAAAAGCAGAATTGGCAGGATGAAAAAGGAGGTCAAAAAGATTAAAGAAGAAAATACTTCCTTAAAAATTACAATGCAACAAATGGAAACTAATGAATTTATGAGAAATCAAGAAATCATAAAATAAACCAAAAGAAGGAAAAATTAGAAGACAATGTGGACCTGGAAAATAGATCCAGGAGAGATAACTTTAAAATTATCAGACTATTTAAAAGCTATGATTAAAAAAAAAAGAGCATGGAGATCATCTTTCAAGAGATTATCAAGGAAAACTGCCCTAATATTCTAGAACAGGAGGACAAAATAAAAATCAAAAGAATCTACCAATCATCTCCTAAAAAAGATCCCCAAATGAGAACTAATAGCAATATTATAGCCAAACTGCAGCATTCCCAGTTCAAGGAAAAAATATTGAAAGGATCCAATATGAAATAATTCAAGTATTGTGAAGACACAATCAAGACAACACAAGATTTAACAGCTTCTACCTTAAAGGACTGGAGGGCTTGGAATATGATATTCTGGAGAACAAAGGAGATAGGATAACAATCAAGAATCACCTACCCGGCAAAACTGAGTACAATCCATGAGGGTAAAAGAAGGATATTCAGTGAGATAGAGGAATTTCATGCATTTTTGAGAAAAGACCAGCCCTGAATAGAAAATTTGACTTTTAAATACAACACTCAAGAAATACGAAGAGGTAAACAAGAAAGAGTAATCATAAGGGACTTACTGAAGTTAAATTGTTTACAATCCTACATGGAAAAATTTGTAACTAATAAGAGCTTTCTCATTATTAGGGTAGTTAGAAGGAGTATGTATAGATAGTGGGCAGAGGTGTGAGTTGCACATGAAGGGATGATATCAAACAAACAAAATTAAGGGGTGAGAAAGAGGAATGTACTGTGAGAAAGAGAAAGGCAGAGGTAGAATGGGGTAAATTATCTCACATAAAAGAGGCAAGAAAAAGCTTTTATACTGTAGAGGGAAAGGGAGGAGGTAAGAGGAACTTCACTCATCAGAATTGGCTCAAAGTGAGTATAACATACACATTCAATTGGCTATAGATATCTAACTTACCCTATAGGAAAGTAGAGGGGAAAGGGATAAGAGAAAGGGGTAGTGGTGATAGAAGGGAGGGCAGATTGGGAGAGGGTAGTCAGAAGCAAAACACTTTTGAGAACGGACAAGGTAAAAGAAGAAAGAAAATAGAATGAGGGAAGTGATATAAGATGGAGGGAAATACAGTTAGTCTTTCACAATGTAACTATTATGGAAGTCTTTGCATAACTCTACATGTATAATCTATATTGAATTGCTTGCCTTCTCAATGAGGAGGGGTGAGGAGGGAGGAAGGGAGAGAATTCAGGAAGTTTTTTAAATGTATGTTAAAATTGTTTTTACAGGTAACTGGGGAAAAATAAAATACTAAATATGAATACTATGAAAAGAAAATGCAGTCAGAAGGAGACTCACATGTGACAAACAAGGAGGCCTATGTTACTGCATCCTGAGTACATGGAAAGGACTGAGGTGAGTGACATCTGGAGAACTAGTGTCTGGAGAGAAATAGGTCTTCTCTGAGTTCACGTGGTGGGTAACTGCTGCCAGAGACATATTGCCCACAAGGCAGAAATGATGGAGGGAAAAACTTAGGCTTTAGTATAATGCTCTAGCATAGGTTCAGGCCTCAGAGAAAACCTAAACAGTCCTGAGGATTCTGAAAAGGCTTCTTATAGGCAGAACTGCATCAGGGACAGAGAAATCATTCAGTTCATTGCTCTAATTTTACAGGGTCTTCTTAGGCCAAAAAAGTTAATCCCATGGTTCCTTCAATGTCATAAAAGTTGAACAAACTCCATTAATCAGAGTCATACCTGCATAAATCCTCTGAGGAAACCAAGTCCCCAAGAAACTCTACAGGTAAAGGAAGACAGTTACAGATTAAATGACATTCAGAGAATTCACAGATAGCCTGAGGAGGAGGTTGTACATGTAGCCAAGGAGTCTGGGACAGGTGAGATTCTTCCCTCTGGCTTCTTATCTAAAGAATGCTTCAGGCTCTGAGTAAATTTTCACATTCCATGTGGCTGGTTTCAGTCAGGTGAGGTTAATATTGAGTAAAAGTTTAGAGAGGAATAAAAGGAAATTTAAAATCTGCATAACAGTAGAAAGAGCCCAAGTGGTTAGTATGTTGTTTCTCATTAAACTCTAAGCTCCTTGAGGGCAGGGACTGGTTTGGTTTGCTAGGTGGTGGGAGTCTGGTTTTGTAGGGTTTTTTGTTTTGTTTTGTTTTGCCTCTCTTTCTATTCCCAGCTATTTTATCTCTAAAACTTTTTTCCTTAAGGACCACCCTTAACCCCAAATCAATCTGACTTTCCCTCTTTCACCAACAATAGGTCCCAGGCCTAGTCCTGATTGGCTCACAGTGAATGTAAATAGCAATTGTTTCTGTTTTGGCCAGAAACAATAAGGGTCTTCCCCTCCCAAATTGATTATTTTTTTTTTGACTAGGTAAAAAGGCCATTCTCTGCCTCTTTTCTTATTTAGCCTTAATCACTCAATCAGCATTTCTTCAGTTCAACTGAGACTGTTAAAGACCTTAGCTTGAAAAAGGCCAAGGTCCCTCACTGCATCCTAGGCCATCTCCAGTTTTCCCTGATCTACATCTTCCCACTGAATCCAGAAGGCTTCAGGGGAGAGAATGAGGCTGCTGACTTTGCACTGCCCTGACTCACTTAAATCCAATTCACTTCCAAGTCCTACCATCAGCTTCCTGAAGGCATGGTCCTCTTGGAGAACCAAGGACAAACAACAACACCCAAAGACACCAGCTTATGGGGTAAGAACTCACTATTTGACAAAAACTGATGGAAAAACTGGAAAGGAGTATGGCAGAAACTAGGCATAGATCAAAATCTCACACCACATACCAAAATGAAGTCAAAATGGGTTCGTGATTTAGATGTAAAGGCTGATACTCTAAGCAAACTGGGAGAGCAAGGAATAATTTGTATGTCAGGTATATGGAGAACAGAAGAATTAGTGACCAAACAGGAGATAGAGAACATTATGAAGTGTAAAATGGATACCTTTGATTAAATTAAATTGAAAAGTTTTTGCACAAACAAAGCCAATGCAACCAAGATTACAGGGGAAGTACAAGAGTGGGAAAGAATTTTTACAACCAGTCTGATAAGGGTCTCATTTCTAAAATATGTAGAAAATTAAGTCAAATTTATAAGAATACAAATCATTCCCCAATTGATAAATGGTCAAAGGATATGAATAGGCAGTTCTCAGATGAAGAAATTTAAGCCATCTACTCATACCAAAAAAATGCTCTCAATCGTTATTGATTAGAGAAGTGCAAATCAAAACAACTCTGAGGTACCACATCACACCTATCAGATTGGCCAATGTGACAAAACAGAAAAATGATGAATGTTGCAGAAGACGTGGGAAAATTGGAACACTAATGCATTGTTGGTGGAGTTGTGAACTGATCCAACTATTTTGGAGAGCAATTTGGAACTATGCCCAAAAGGCTATAAAAATGTGCATACCCTTTAACCCAGCAATAGCACTTCTAGGGCTGTATCCCAAAGAGATCATACAAATGGAAAAAGGACCCACATGTATAAAAATATTTATAGCAGCTCTTTTTGTGGTGGCAAAGAATTGGAAATTCAGAGGATGCCCATCAATTAGGAAATGTCTGAACAAGTTGTGGTATATGAATTAATGGAATACTATTATGCTATAAGAAATGATGAGCAGACAGACTTCAGAAAAACCTAGAAAGACTTTTGTGGTCTAAGGCTGAGTGAAGTAAGCAGAACCAGGAGAACATTGTACGCAGTAACAGCCACGTTGTGTGATGACTAATATGATAGACTTACCTTTTCACAGCAATGCAAGGATCTAAGACATCTCCAAAAATCTCATGATGGAAAATGCTATCCACATCCAAAGAAAGAACTATGGAGTTTGAATGCAGATTGAAGCATAGTATTTGCCGTTTTTTTTTTCCTTCTGTTTTGCTTTGTTTCTTCTTTCTTGTGGTTCGTCCTATTGGTTCTAATTCTTCCTTATAACATCACTAATGCAAAAATATTTAATAGAATGTATATGTAGAGCCTATGTCACACTGTGTACTGAATTGGAGAGGGAGGGGGTAGAAAAATTTTAAACTAAAAGCTTATGGAAGTGAATGTTGATATATCAAAATAAATTAATAAAAAAACAGAAAAAGTAATACTGATAACATCAAACTCAAGAAGGAAAAAATGTGAATACAAGGACATAAAAGAATAGCAGTATAAGGATACTACAATTGTTGAAGAAATAGTAAAATTTAAAATAATAATAGCTAATATTCATAGAGTACCTACTACATTCCAAGTAATTTACAAATATTATCTTATTTGATCTTCAGAACCCTGGGAAACGATGTTATTATCTTCATTTTACAGATAAAGAAACTGAGGCAAATAGAGGAATTGTGACTTGCCTACTGTCACCCAGGCAGAAAGTGTCTGTGCCTGGATTTCAACTCAACTCTTTCTGACTCCAGACATAGTGCATTGTGCCACCCGGCTGCCTCATGGTGGAAGATAACTTTGCACCAGAGTGGATGCTTCAAATAGAGGAGAGAGGAGGATAACAGACTTTTCAGACAGTGTTCCAGCGAGTCATCTGGGAACAATATGGATAGAAGAATAGGTGGGCTGAGGAATGGGGATCAGGACACTCCAATGACCAATTACTAGTGTTGATCTCACTCTGTTCCCCCACCTACTTTGTGTTGGGGCAGGAGCAAGTAGGAAAAATCAGAGCATATCGTGGAGAAAATATAATTATTTCACCTTTTGGAACGTGGCCCCTAAATTCATTCCCCTGTGTGCCCTTTGACCCCATAACAACCACTAGACCTATAAACTAAAGAGTTAAATGACCCATATATACAAGATGAAATTATTCTGGATGTTTGTTGTTGCTGCAAAGATCTGGAAAGATGGTGCCTGTATACTGGGAGTTGATGGAAGAAATGATAGTCTAAGAATATAATGGAAGATCATGTTTGTTTTATGGAATCTATAATTTTGGCTAAGGAAGAACATGGGCATCCTGAGTCAGCAGGGGAGGGGGACTGCTCTGAGAACATCAAGTGTCCTCCATTTAGTCTGTCTTTGAGTATATTTTCTAGTGAGCTCCCCTGTATGGACCCATGCACACCCGCCCTCTTGAGAGAACTAAACATGCATACGCAGCCTACCTCTGTTTGTCTTTCTTAGAACAGACTCAGTAAAGGTTAACACTCCTTACCAAAGGTGTGTTCGAGAGCAGACTGGGGTTCCCTTTACAACAGATTTGAGCAGGAACAAACAGAACTAGGCTGTACTGCATTATAACGTGCTTATTCATTTATTCTTATTACACCAGAGAGTCGTGCATGCACGGGAGTCACAAAATAATTCTGAACACTGAGGTAAGGAAGCTGGAGGAGACCCTTTATACACTTAGAGCAGTCCCAACTCAGGATGCCTCTGCCAACCATCATTGTAGTCTATGTATGAGTTTGGCCATAATGGGAGAAAGGAATTTCTTAGTAAGATAGATTGTAAGTACAATAAGATAAACGTCAAAATGGTGATAGAAATTATAGTTCCAAGATATCTTCATTAACATAACACAACACAACACTATGCAACATAACAATGAGGTAGAGAGGAGTGCTTGAGGCAGATGGAGCAAGCAGGCTGCAGGCTGAGAGATGTGAGAGAAGATGCAGGATGTGGCCAGCCAGAAGAGTGACCCAAGAAAATGATGCAGTGAAGCCCCTCTCTGGACTTACCTGTGTGCTTCCACAAAGCACCCCCTCCCCTTTCCTATTCTCCTTGCTTTTCTGTATCTGACATCCGTGATATCCCCTTTTCCCATTCTCTTCTCCTACTTCCCCCTATGCTGGATAACATAACAATAACAAAAGTCCCCTTACACAAGATAGTGTCCAGTTCAAGGCACCTTGTCCTTGGCATTCATAAACAGAAGAATGACCCTGATCAGCTTCATCTGAGCCTTGTAGTTGCTGACACACACAAGAAAGGGCATGTTGGGTTCACTCAGAAAGCAGAGCAAAGCATGTCTGTTATGCCAGAGCACGCAAAGCATTATGGTAGGAGAAGCGCAGAGTGGGATAAAATGTCTTTGTCCTGTTTGGCCAATGTAGGATTTAGACCTTTTTCGGGTGAGGGGGTCCCAAAATGGTTTGGGGAATCCCCTGGCTGGTTCACACTCCTTTTCTAAGGGTACAATTGCATGCCCCTCTAGAAATCATTGTTTCAAATTAAGAGCATGATTTATACATTGGTTTTCCCCAAATCTGCAATTGAGAAAAATCTGAAACATAATAACAACATGAACACTGTTACAATGTTAATACATGAAACAAAATTGCCAGTCAGATAACATCAATTCAGTTGATTATCTTAGATATTGTAGAAAATGATTCTTCTTGGTAATCTATATCTTGGAGACTCAGAGCTCCACCCTGCAAGCCTTCTGCTTCAAAGTTCTTCACAAGGCCCTCAATGATAATGTGATTGTCTTGTCTTGGTCAAGCCCTACCCAAATCTGAATTGGTTTTATCCTTCTCAGGCTCCAGTGGAGACAAATCCTCCTACCTAGATAGAAGGAGGCTAGGAATGGTCTGGAAGGATAACAGGTTGATAGGAAGTTGAAAGAGTATATAATGCTACACCCCAAAATCCTAAACCAAGTCAGTTTGGACTAAACTCCCATACAACACATGTCAAGCTACCTTGAGAGGAATTAACCAGAAGACATGCGTACCCCAATTTTATTTGTCTGTTTTTTAGAACAAGATGTTTCAATTCAGGGTTCACAATATGAAAACCACTTTCTCCATTTATCTGTTTGACCCTATAGACTGATTGCATTCAGACAGTACAATAGGGTAATTCTGATATAAACTGATAAAAATCTGATATAAAGGACATAACCATGCAGCTCTGATGTACAGAAAGATTGGTCCTGCATTTGAAAGCCTTTCCACACTGATGATATTTATATTTGTATGCAGTGTGGATTCTCTGATGTAGACCAAGATCACTTTTACACCTGAAAGCCTTTCCACATTGATTACATTCACAAGGTTTCTCTCCAGTGTGGATTTTCTCATGTACAGCTAGTTCCCAGTTTAGTCAGAAAGCTTTTCCACGTTGATCACATTCATATGGTTTCTCTCCATTGAGGATTCTCTGATGTAGACTAAGATCACTTTTACATCTGAAAGCCTTACCACACTGATTACATTGATAAGGTTTCTCTCCAGTGTGGATTCTCTGATGACGACTAAGGTCACTTTTACAGCTGAAAGCCTTTCCACACTGATTACATTGATAAGGTTTCTCTCCAGTGTGGATTCTGTGATGTTTAATAAGGCTGGAGCTGTGTGTGAAAGCCTTTCCACACTGATTACATTCATAAGGTTTCTCTCCAGTGTGAATTCTCTGATGAAGAGTAAGGCTACTTTTGTACCTGAAAGCCTTTTCACACTGATTACATTCATAAGGTTTCTCTCCAGTGTGAACTCTTTGATGTTTCATAAAGCTGGAGCTCTCTGTGAAAGCCTTTCCACACTGATTACATTTATAAGGTTTCTCTCCAGTGTGGATTCTCTGATGTAGACTAAGATAGCTTTTACACCTGAAAGCCTTACCACACTGATTACATTCATAAGGTTTCTCTCCAGTGTGGATTCTCTGATGTAGACTAAGTTTACTTTTACAGCTGAAAGGCTTTCCACACTGATTACATTTGTAAGGTTTCTCTCCAGTGTGCTTTCTCTGATGTAGACTAAGTTTACTTTTGCAGCTGAAAGCCTTTCCACACTGATTACATTCATAAGGTTTCTCTCCAGTGTACTTTCTCTGATGTAGACTAAGATCACTTTTACACCTGAAAGCCTTTCCACAGTGATTACATTCATAAGGTTTCTCTCCAGTGTGAATTCTCTGATGTATTATAAGGTGGAAGTTCTGTGTGAAAGCCTTACCACACTGATTACATTTATAAGGTTTTTCCCCAGTGTGGAGTCTTTGATGTTCAGTAAGTTTGGAGCTCTGTGTGAAGGCCCTTCCACACTGATTACATTCATAAGGTTTCTCTCCAGTATGCAGTCTGTGATGTTTAATAAGGCTGGAGTTCCGTGCGAAAGCCTTTCCACACTGATTACATTCATAAGGCTTTTCTCCAGTGTGCTTTCTCTGATGTAGAGTAAGATGACTTTTACGCCTGAAAGTCTTTCCACACTGATTACATTCATAAGGTTTCTCTCCAGTGTGGTTTCTCTGATGTAGAGTAAGGTGGCTTTTATACCTGAAATCCTTTCCACACTGATTGCATTCATAAGGTTTCTCTCCACTGTGGCTTGTTTGATGTTTCATAAGGCTGGACCTCAGTGTGAAAGACTTTCCACATTGATTACATTTATAAGGTTTCTCTCCAGTGTGAATTCTCTGATGCACAATAAGGCTAGAGTTCTGTGTGAAAGCCTTTCCGCACTGATTACATTCATAAGGTGTCCTGCAAATGTGATCTCTCCCATGCATAATGAAGGTTGAATGTTCACAAATAGTTTTACCATATTCATGACACTCATGTAGTTTCACACCAGAATTAACTTTTTGATGGTAAATAAGGGATGACTGTTGACTCAACACTTTCCCACAATGATGACAATTATAACATTTTTCTCCTTTGTGGATTCTGTGAAATGCAGCACAGATTTGTCTCCCAGTGAAGTCAGAAGGACCACCCCTCATGAAACTTTCCTGGTGAGTTTCTTTCACAGAAATGCTTAACTTTGCAGTAGTCTCTTTAATTTCAGGTCTAACATCTCCTTCTGTAAGAAACAGTAAAACATACAGAAAGACACATGTACACACATATATAATTACAATCCTTTTCCTTGATTGCCACAAAGTAAATGACTGAGAAAGCAGGATCTACATCCTAACTCCCCAGTCTAAGAGAAAAGTCTGTAAAGTTCAATGGACAGAATCAGTCATTTGAAAATTGCATTAGTTCACATCGGAGGGATGCTTCATTCACACAGAGCTTCACACACACTCACACTGGATCCTCACAAAACCCTATGACACTGGCAGGCCCAACATTCTCATTACACTTACAACTCAGGCCATGAGATCAGAATGGCTAGGTGACCTGCCTAACATCTGTGCAACTGAGGCTAGAACTTCAAAACTGCAAGTGGGTATGCTCTGTCCATGGTACGAGATGGCCATTGTCTATTGCATTTCCTTTTTTTTTTTTAAGAAAAGTTATTTTATTATTCTATGTTGACTTGTTCTCTCCCTCTCTTCAGGTCCTCCTACTCCCTGAGACACAAGAGTATACAAATTAGGCCAATTAATAACCCTACAATGGGGCTATAAGTTCAGGCAAAAATAAGAGTAAAATCAATGTGGCAAACTTCACTGTAGCCTGGTTTTAAGAAATTGATACAGCCACTGCCAACTTTGAGCAACCCCCACCCTGATCAGTCAGCAACCATCAACACTTGTCTAGAGCCACCATCAGTAACAAGATTATGGTTCCCTGAAGGCTGAGATGATAGATAGCTTTTATTTGCAATGAAATGTTTTTAAGTTTCAGTATATACATTTTCATTACTATTATTTTCTGGCAATTGGTGTTAAGCGACTTGCACAAATTCACACAGCTAGTAAGTGTCAAGTGTTTGCTCTGCAGCCACATTTGAACTCAGGTCCTCCTAACTTCAGGGCCAGTGCTCTATCCACTGTGCCACCTAGAGCCTCCAGTATATACATTTTAGACAACAGTACTGCACACATAATAGATAACAGCATATAGTAAATATAACTGAACTGTTATATACACTGAGAAACTAAAAAAATTCATGTGACTTAATTAATGCAGTATTCACTTTACTGTGGTGCACTAGAACAGAACCCACAATGTCTTTGAGGTGTGCCTGAAATTTTTCTCATTCTTGATTTGACTTTGACTCTTTCCTCCCCAATTTAACTCTCCTTAAATTGTTACTAGCCTCACTCCTTGAGTGTCCTTATATCCCACTGAACTACACATCTCTCCATTCCCAAACACTCTCTTTTCCCTGGATCAGCTAACAGCCAGGTTCCTGATCTGTGGCTTCTTCTCAGACACCTCCATGTTTTGCAGCCACACTGGCAGCTCTTTGACAGCAGGGACTGGCTTTTCCCTTCCTAAAGCTTAGTGAGCTGCCTAGAAAACAGGAGGTATTCATGGACCGAATAATGAGTGGGCCCACAGCTGACAGGAGGTCCCAGGCTCGACCTCACTCCCTGTATTCTGCTTCTGTTGTAGTTGCCAAATGCAGTTTCTGGTTTCAGGCCTCTTTTCTGCCTTTTTCCTGTACTTTATCTCCTATATTGAGTGGCCTTTTTGTTTAGTTCTAACCATGTAAGAACTTGACCAGATCCACAGTGAAGATCACAGAGAATTCTTTCTAGGCTCCTGAAGCATCTTATACTGTGGGAAACCTGGGAGTTTCCACTTACCATTACCCCAAACTAACAGTGACTTTCAACTCAAGGATTCTCCAAGAATTGGCCAAAGATTGAGCCTCAGAGACCAGGGGAGGGACACAGGTTGATGGTTCATCTAATGCATAGCCTTGGGCTAACTGTAGTTTGTGACTACTAAGATACTTACACCCAGGCTTCCTGGGTACACTTCACATTAAGACTATATAATCTCACTGTGGCCCTCACTGTGACAAGGCCATTCTTTGACATCTCCCTGAGTCCCTTGGGGCAGCTACATGCTGCAGTGGATAGAGTACTGGTCACAAAGACTGTAGTTCAAACCCAGGCACAGACACTTACTAGCTGTGTGACCCTGAGGAAGTCACTCAGGCCTGCTGCCTCAGTTAACTCATGTGCAAAATGTGCCTGAAAAGGAAATAGCAAATCACTCTAGTATCTTTACCAAGAAAGCCCCAAACTGGGTCATGAAGAGTCAGAAACAATGGAAATGACTGAACAATCACATGACTGACTCCCTCTTTGATTCACCACAGCAGCTTTTCCAATTCTTTTTATTCTTCCCCAGCCCTCCTTTATTTCTTGCTCCCACACTCTACACCCAACACTCACCTCCCCAGCGGGGAAATTTGCCTTGTATTTCATTGAAAAAATTGGATACTTAACAAGAGGTATCTCATCTTCATCTCCCATAAATCAAGTGCCTTTTTTTCCTTTATGACAACAGTATCACATAAAAGCATCCTCCTGCTTCCTAAATTAAACTCCTTTCCATGGGTAAATCATCCCATTCCATCCCACCATCTTCTAGGTATAATGCCTCTCCAGCATCGCCTGTTTTCACTGCTTTTCAGTCTCTTCAACACTAAAGTCTCCTTCCCTACTACTACAAACAATAACTTTTCTCTCTAATCCTCAAAATACACTCACTTGATCCATTCAATCTAAGACATATTTTCTAATTTCTTTCTTCCATGTCATGACTAAACAGCTGGACATGCCCATTTACAACTGGTGTCTCCAACTCCTTGCTTTTCCTTTCTCTGAAATACTCTGCAGTCTGGCTCCCAGTTGCATTCTTCAATGGAAACTCCTCTCCAAAATTACCAAAACTCTCAAAAGTTGCTAAATTGACTGGCCATTTCTTCATCCTCATCCTTTTTCGACTTCTCTGCAGCCTTTGACACAGTCAATCACCGTTTCCTCTCTCTCTCTCTCTCTCTCTCTGAGTTTTAGTGACACTCCTCTCCTGGTTCTCCTACTGTATCCAAACTAAACTCATTCTTTTCCCCTCAGCCCTCCCCTCTTCCTACTTGCCTAAGGCTGTCCAACATATCCTCCCAATAGTGCTGACTCACAAATGAGGTGTCATGCACCCCTCACTGACTCTCACACATGCACACTCCTAACCCCCATATTCAATTTCCTGCAAAGTCCTGTATTTCCACCTAGGTAACATCTCTACCATTCACCCCTTTCTGTGCCAACACTGCCGCTGTCTTTGTCCAGGAATCAATCACTTAACACCTGAGGTACTGCAAGAACTTGCTGCTTGGCCCAGCTCCCTCAAATCTCCCCCCACTCCAATTATTCCTGCACCCACTTCTCAAAGTTGATATTCCTAAAGTTTTGACTGACCATGTCATCACGTTCTCAACAACCTGCTAGATCTCCCTAGGAAAAGGACCAAATATAAAATCCCCTCTAGGGCTATTAATCACCTAGTCCTTCTTTACCTACCCCTCTCCCACTCTTCCAGTCTTCTTTCACCTTCTATCTCCACCCAACATGCTATATTCCAGTGCCATGGGCCTCCCTCCTTTTCTGTAAACAGGACACTCCATTCCCTGACTCTACAGGCTGTCCTCAACATCCTTATGCCTAGAATGCTCACCCTGGCTTCCCTGAAGCCCCAGCTAAAGCCCACCTTCCACAATAAGCCTTTCCAGTGTCCCTCACTCAATGAGCTCGTATCCATAGAATTCTACATAGTTGTTGGTATGTCATCTGCCCCAACCTCCCTCCTCCCCACTTTCTGAGCTCCATGAGAGCAGGGGATGTTCCTTGCATCTCTTTATATCTTGGATTCTTAGCAGAGGGTCTGGCACATAGCTGGCACTTAATAAATGTTCATTGACTTGAAGAAAGCCTAAGAAAAAACTCAAACTGGAAAGCCTAACCCCTTTTTCCATTTTCAAAAGAGCCCCTGTCTCCAAATTCTAAACAATGAGTTTTTATAGCATCACAGATTTATTACTGGAAGAAAGCTGAAAGTGTCCAACTCCCCAATTTTAACCATGGGGAAACTGAGGCTCAGAGGTTCCTTGACTTGTCCACCATCCCACTGCTAAAAAGTGTCTAAAACAGAATTCCAGGTCAGGTTTTCCTGTCCCCAAATCTAGCACTTCCTTCACCACCACACCTAGAAGCCTCTTGGAATCACAGCTCTCATCCACCTGCTTTCATCTCACTCACCTGGATAACAGCTCCTTAGGCCTTCATGCTCCAGGAGCTGTGGTGCGTCCTTTTCCTCAAAATAAGAGACCAGATCTTCTCTGGGAACTGGCAGCCCTGGGCATGGGGAATCGTGGATGAGGGTAGAGAATAACCTCCAGGTTCTCTTCACACAGTGTAATGACCTTTTATGGGAGAACCACGCAGCAGGAGGACTCTCTCTCTCTTGGACACAGGAGACCAGCATTTTTCCCTTTTAGTAATTATTAAACACTCCAAACCCAGCCCACTCAGGAATGAAGACATTCCCTTGGATTGCAGACTCAGAGTGGCCAGGGGAAGTGTCCTTACCCAGGGAGAGCAAGTTCTGGGCATTCTCCAGCATGACCTCCTTGTACAACTCCTTCTGAGGATGGTCCAAGAGGCCCCACTCCTCCTGGGTGAAGTCCACAGACACATCCTTGAATGTCACCAGCTCCTAAACCATCAAAAGTCACAAGATTTAGAGCTGAAAGAGAGTCCAGGATTCCTGTAGTCTAACCCTCATCACCTGAGAGGAGGAAACTGAAGCACAGTCAGGGGAGTTACCCAAAGGTGGTACCCTTGAGGAGCATCAGTTGGAATAAAGTTGAGGAAAGTCTTACCATGGAATGTGTCTCCCTGTGGAACCTGGGACAAAGTGTGTGTTTTATCTTTGGGGTGGGAGGTTCTGTGGAAGACACAGACAGAAATGATCTGAAATTTCTGCCTTCTAAGAACTGATAGAAGGAATATATTATCAAAAAAAGAATTTGTGAAGAGTTTTAGAGAAGCTGTCAAGTACAGTGTATTCTGTGATGGTTGGAAGGATTTATGTGTGATTATTGATAAGAGAGGAAAGAAAAAGGGAAGATTTAGTTTATTTCCTGAGAAGCTAAAACAAAAAGTTTTAGCTAGATAAACCAGGAAACTGAATCTCTTCCATTTGTAGCTAAAAGGTGCCACAATGGAATGATATCAATGCTAAACATATATTCACCAAATGGTATATAGTGTCTAAGTTTTGAAAAGAGAAGTTAAATGAATTACAGGTGGAAACAGTCAATAAAACTATACTAGTGGGGAACCTCAATCTTTCCCTCTCAGAACCAGATAAATCTAAAAAAAAAAGAAAGAAAGAAAGAAAGAAGTTAGATTGCTAGACTTTGGAGAAAACTGAATGAGAACAGAAAGGAATATACATTTTTCTCAGTAGTACATGGCATTCACACAAAAACTGCCCATGGATTAGAGCATAAAAGCATCAATATCAAATGTAGAAATATAAAATGCATCCTATTCAGATCATAACACGATGTAAAGTATATTCAATAAAGAGCAGTGAAAAGAAAGAGATAAAATTAATTGGAAACTTATTCATCTAATCCTAAAGAATAAATGCATCTAAGACCAAATTATACAAATAATTCATAGGTTAATTAAAGAGAAATACAACAAGGAGACAACCTAACAACATTTATGGGATGCAGCTAATGCAGTACTTGGGAGGAAATTTATATATCCAAACATATATATACACACTTAATTTTAGCCTGAGGCAAAGGCTGGGGGGTGGGGATAGATGGGGAAGAAGTAGGAAAAAAAGAACAAAGTCAAAAATGCACAGCAGAGAACAAAAGAAAACTTACAAGGAAGAAAAAAAGAGATGGACAGTTCTGAACACAATAAATAGTTATTTACCACATAGGTTTTACTGAAATGGAAATTTATTGCTGTATATTTTGAATCCTCTCTCATATTGTGCTCTGCACATATCAATGCTTTTTTTCTTTCCTTATTTTGTATGTATTTAAAATTTAAAAAAAAATTACAAATCAAAAGTGCTCCGAACCACTAATTAATAAGAGAAATGTAAACCAAAACAACACTGAGGTGAAAACAAAACTCCCAGGCCTTTGAAAATTGTTCCCCAAACTCAGACCTTTCCCTATATCCTCTCTAACAATGAAGTACTACTGTATCAAAGGTCTCCTTCAGCTTGTTTACTCAGAGTTCAGAATGATTTTCTGACTCCATCACACAGAACTGTCTGGCTTAATGAGAATAGATAAGCAGCCTGATTCTATTTGTTTCTTTGGACAAAGCCTTTGGGAAATGGTTGACAGTGTGTGGGACAGTGACCACTGAAATCAAGGGTTTGGAGTCTGAATCAGAGATCAGAAAAGGTCTTTACTCTTTCTCACGAGAAATGGCACAGCCCTTGTGGCTGCTGAAGCAGGGACAGACAGGGAGTGGGCAGCTGGCTGTGAGAAGCAGTTTTATAGCCCTAACCCATGCCCCCTCCCACTCTCTTACCTATTTCCCTCACTGGCTGGGTACTAAAAGCATACAATCTAAACCCAGCAACTAATACCCACAGAAGCAAACATACCTATATTTGGGGACTAGATGTATGGGTTCCACAGGAAGTGGGAGCGACCAGGAATGGCCTGTGCTAACATGGATATTTGAGAAAGCTGAAACTTAACTCAGGGCTTAGACCTGAGGAAACTGCACTTTAGGCCCTCTCTCACAACTGTTTTCAACTTCCTGCACATTTGTACAAAGAAACAATCCGTAGGTAGGGATGGCCAGCCTCCTAAACAATCCTCTTTGTTTCTGGAAATGGACTCCTTGGCTGACATGGGGCAAGTCTGAGGGCAGAGTGCACTCACCTGTGCTGGGGGTCTGCAGGTCCCAAGGGACATTACCTCTGGCTCCAGGCTCCCTGCTAGATCAGGCCTTGATCCTCTGCACACTGAGCTGGGAAGGTGGAAGGATCCCAGGACAGGAGTCTGGCCTGCAGGAATTTACAGGGGTGAGGCACTGCCCTCAGGGACAAGAGTGCAGCCTACAAGAAGGGTCAGGCTTGGAAATGAGATGACCCCATCCTCTCCTATTCCTTCTCTTCTGTCCCCCTCCCCTCCCCCATTCTCTTTCAGAGACCCAGGAGGCTTGGGATCCCAGATGGGATGAGACCAGGCAGTGCCTCAATGGTTCCTGAATCAGAACTCTCCCTCCAGTTGGTCCTCTGCCCTCCCTGCCTCACCTCTCCCCAACTCACACACACACACACACACACACACACACACACACATCTAGACACCAGACTGACTGCTTGACAAAATAATGGAATGAAAGCAAGAGAACCCTGCATATAGTACCAGCAATGTTGTCTTAACAATAACTTTAAGAGAATAAGTTATTTTCATTATTCTAGACATCCAAAATAACTATAAAGGATATATGAAGAAAGGCACAGTCCGCATCCAGAGAAATAAAATCATATATAGGATAATTTTACACATACATTCATATATACCTATATATGTGTGTGTGTGTGTGTGTGTGTGTGTGTGTGTGTGTGTGTGTCTAACAGTATTCATTTCCAAGGCTGGGGGTTGAGGGAAGAAAAAGAAAGGAAAAAAAAAAGAAATTTACAAGATAATTTTGTTGCATATTGTAAAGGAATAGCAACTTGTGTTATTTGCAGCAGATGTGCAGTTTCAATTACAATTATCTTTTTTATTGTACTATGTTATGGAAAAGCTTGTTTTACTCCATAAATTAAAAATCAAATTGATTGAAACTAATAAAATAAATGATAACGATAATAATTTGCTCTTTTATCAAAGTCCAAAGGACCTTGTAAATTCTCCTTAATGTTAAAAGGACAATTCTTTGTTTAGACTTTTCCCCAGATGACCCAGGCAAAACTCAGGACTAAGAGAATTAAAAAGAAGTTTCTGAAACATGTCAAGGTAGCAATATATTGAGGCTCTTATCACTGCAGATCAGCAAGGGATTTAAGATGAAACCACCTCTTATTGATAATTTTTGTAATGAGATAAAAACCAATTGTGGATAAACTTTCTTTAGCAAAAGGGGCCTTGCATTTTAGCATCTCACCCATCGCCAGTACATGAGGGCTAACAGATACAAACAGGCGGGGGTCACTTGTGACATGGCAACTGAAAAAGACAAAACAACTTCAAAGGACCCCTTGACACTCCTCAACATTTGCATTGTGACTAATAGCAGGTGGTGTATTTTATACATTTATCTTTCTGCATTTCCTGTGAGGTTTCTATGCCCTAATACATGGTCAATTTCTGTGAAGGTGCCATGTATAGCTGAGTAATAGGTATTCTCCATTCTACTCACATTCAAATTGCTCCAAGAGTCTATCATCTAACTTTACTACAATTTCATTCTTTACTTTAATCCCTTATTTTATTTTATGATTAAATTTATCTAGGCCTAAGTGATCTAAACTGAAGACCACTAAACTTGCTAAAAAGTTTAGTGTATGTATATGTATATAGACACACATGTATATATCTATGTATGCTTATATTATATATTGTCAACCTGGAAGTTGGTTAAAGAGACAACAAGCTAGGTGATAAGTAAACTCATTTTTTATTCCCTTAAGTTAGTGACATGGACATGGAGCCAGACCTTTAACTCTGACTGAATCAAGTAATTTGAAATAGACAATTCATATTCTTAGAACAATCCCCACGCAGAATATCTGAGTCAATAAATAAATAAACAAATATATATATACATATATATATACATATATATATACATATATATATGTATGTGTATATATATATATATATTATATATATATACACACACACACACACAGCCACTATATGTTTTTAACATGTAACATGAGAAAGGAAATTTCTTAGTTGAACAGGTCGTAAATATAAGAGAAGAAACAAAGTGTCCATTGGAATTACAGTCCCAGGATATCTGTTTTTCCCTACATATGTGCATAGGATACCAAGACAAGAAAACTCCCATTCTTCCAGGCACTGTCTGGCCCCAGGCATCCTGACCTTAGTGATCACACACAGGAAGAGTGCTGGTCAGCTCCAGCTGGTCTTGTAGTGGCTGACACAGGAAGGGGCATTCTTAGATCACTCAGAGAGCACAGCATGCAAAGCATTATGGCAGATGAAGCCGAGAGTGGGCCAAAATGTCTCTCCTCATTAGCCAATCCAGGTTTTAGGCCTTTCTCAGGTGCTGGAGTTAAAAATGATTTGTGGAGGGGTCTACAATACATATATATACATATACACACATACATACATATGCATACACATATCCCTAAGTGCACTATGGTGCCACCTAGCCACCCCTAAGTGTTTGGGTGCTCTATAACAGTCAATGGTCAATAAGTATTTATCAAGTACCTAGCATGAGCCAGATATTCTGCTAAGGACTGGGGATTCAAAGACAAAAATGGAAGGACAGTCCTTGCCCTCAAGGAGCTTACTATCTGATGGAAAAAGCCAGCACTCAAAAAATAGCTAAAAAGGCAGGGAGGGGGCAGAGAAGATGCCATACACTGGGCATCCTCAGGTAGGGGGGAGAAGTCAGGTAGAGGAGCCCCAAAGCAGCAGAGCAAAGAGAGGAGTGAGGAGATGTGGGAGTCAGAGTCCAGGGCCCCACCCCCATGGTGTTGAGGAATGGATGAGGGAGGACTGAGAAGGGAAGAGGTTTGGAAAAACTTCTGTTAGGACTGAGTTAGAGAATCAATTACAATCGGTAACAGGATGGCCTAACAGTGAGTTCCCACACTATTAATAAATGTGATAAAGTGAAGAACTGTGACTCAGGACGGTGGGAGGTGAGCAGAATAACCAGGTAACTGCACCATAAGCTTGTAAACCAAAGCCAGGTTTATTCAATTTGATAGGAGGGTGGCTCTCCCCCTCAAGGAGAGTTCACACCACTCAGGCAGGAAAGCAGTGTTTTAAAGGGGCCACAAAGGAGTGGGACAGGAACGGGGTGAAAGTGAATTGAACAAGGTCCCTGTTGCCGGGTCTACAGGCTTATCTGGTGAAACAACTCATTGACCCAGTTTCTCCATAACAGATTAGGGGAGCCTCCTGCGACCCTCTGATAGAGCTTAGGCTTGGAATCCCCCAGGGGAGACCGGGCACAGGGAGCCAGTGCCTGGGATCTGATAGCGAAGCAGACCAGCAGCTGGGGGTCCAGATAAGGGGGCCAAACAGGAGCTGGGGGTCCAGATAAGGGGGCCAGGCAGGAACTGGGGGGCCAGAGAAGGGGCCAGGCAGGATCTGGGGGTTCTGCATCCAAAGAGGGGTCCTCAGGTCAGGCAGAACTCTGGATCATTATGGGGGGGGTCGGAAGGGAGAACAACTCAACCCCTAAAGGCGGGCGGGGTCAGGGACCCAGAACATCTGGAGCCTGTGGGGGGGCTGGTGGCAGGACTCCTGGGTTTCCAGGGCAAAGTGAGCCCCGATGGTGAACCTGCAGACGGGGAAGAGCCCGACAGCGTGGAGGTGTTGGGGGGCGGGCAGCGGGGGCCGCTCAGCACCAGGGTGCAGGAAGAAGAGGAGGGGGAGCAAGCGGTGATGGGGGAGCCCGGAAGGCAGGGTAGACCGCACAAGGCACAGCTGCTGGAGCTGACCTACCTGGGACCTGCAAGCACAGAACAAGGACTGAGCTCTGCTCTACGCGGGGCAGGAAGAGGGAGCCCCGCCCAGCAAGGCTCCGCCCCGGCTCCTCTCTCCTCCCTCGGACCCAGCAGCTGACACCCACAACGGAGACCCCAGCACCGTAATACCCAGCCCCTACAGCTCCCCTAACAACTCCCTTCTCCAGGGCCAGCCGGGCGCCAGGTGAAACTGCGCCTGCGCAAGCAGACCCAGACCGGAAGAGCTTCCGGCGAGCTTCTGCAAGGCCTGGGACAAGGCCGAGGGGCGGGACCGCTCCTGGGGTTCCGAGGGAAGGCCGCTTCCGGTTACGAACACCATCCTTCTGGGAAATGTAGTCCGGACTTGGGCTCTGCCGGTGTTCTCGGCGGATGGGCGGGGCGAGGCCCACGTAGGGTCCGCCGCTGATTCCAGTTGACTGCGCCCAAGGTGGAGCCGGGGCTTTACCACTGAAAGTGGGGGCGGAGCCAAGGGGATGGGGCGGGACCAGGGCCGGATAGAGTGGGAGGGGCTGGGCCCGGGGGCGGGCGCGGCGGTGCGGGCCCAGTGCTCTCACTGGCCTTGGCTCAATCCTGGCCCTGCAGCTCCACCAAAGAAAGGGTTAGGGCTTTATGTGCACCATCGTCTTTGGTGCCTGATAACCCAGGGACCTAGCGCTTAAACCTTACGGGGGCTCACTTCCAGGGTCCCCGAGGGGGTGTAAAAAGGGCCTGAATGTCCAACACAAGCAACACTGAGAGTTCCCCTTGAGGGGCTGCTTTGAAGGGCTACAAAGGCTTTCCACGTGGTGGGTCACTTGCTCCTCAAAACCAGCCCAGGAAATGCCCACTTTACAGAGGAGGAAACTGAGGCCGACAAGACGTGGTGTTCTGGAGGAAAGGGGCCTCTCAGGGTAGAAGGTCATCCCCACCAGCCAGTATGCTGGGGGCTGGACTCCCTGCCTCAGTTGTTTCCTTTGTCACAAGAGAGGATCCAGTCTGGAGGGAGAGAGAGGGTTGGTCTTCCTGCTGGTGTAGACAAAATGCACCAATGAAACCTGGAAAGGAGGGAAGAGGAGAAGGCCTCAGCTGGGGTCTGTGTCAGATAACTTAGAGCTGATGGAATTCCCCTCTTGTTTAATGAATGTGGGAGAGGGTTGAACCAGCTTTTTGGCCCATCAGACAGGTCTCAGGGGACAGGAGCCTTGTAAAGGTCCTGCTGGGGAGGCTTTGGCTCCAAGCCCTTTGAGACACTGCAAAGTCCCTGCTTTGGCCTGGCCTCATTTCTGGGGTTGGTGGAAAACACAGCCTCTGGATCTGGGGAGAGCCTGGGAGCCGGCCTCATTCTAGGAGGAGGCTTTCAGGGCGGCAGAAGCCTTTGTGGATGTTTTCTCCTTGAAGCATATTTAGAACCCCTGGAAAATGGGATTGTGTAGTTTGAACCTCCCTTGTGTGGCTTAGAGCCTGGATCTGTTTGATGCTTTGACACCAGATCTGTGGCTCAATCAGGACATGAAGGTCCCCCTGACCCCAGACACCTTCAGGGAAGTGAGGGGTCCAGAGGGGGAGGCCAGGAACTTTCTGAGATCTGCCCTTTCAGTGCCCTGTAAGTGCTGTATTTGGAAACTGCCTCAAGACTGCTTGTATTCAGAGAGAACACAGTAATTATGATGCAGTCACACTTAACTCTTATTCTCACACCTCCTAAACATATCACCTTAATGCCAAATTCTAAGGGTATTTTGCATTAAGATCTGATGTACTTGTAGAGGGTCAAACACCCCTATTATCATAATGGGAGAACACAGGTGACTTTAAAGAAGCCCACATTACAATTTAGATTAGGAGAAACTCAAGTCTGGATTTACAGTTGCAGCTGGCATATAGAATCCCAATTTTCCTAAGGGCCATTTGCTTCAAGCACCTCAGAGTATAGGACTCACTACTTTCAATTTGACTGCCCAAGTTTTTATCCAAGCAGTCTTTTAGCTCAGAAGTAGCACGGGAAGTCCCGGAGCAGAGGGAGGTGATGGTGGGAGAGGGGAGGAGGAGCTCTCAGAGATGACCAGCCTGGTGGGTGGTGGCCCAGGCCTAGGTTTTCCCAGGCTCAGTGTTCACCTGGAGCCCTTCTGTCTGTCTCTCGAGTGTCACTAACCTCTCTGCCAGGAGCTGGCTTGAAATGTCTCCCTCCCAGCCCTTTCCGGTGCTCCCTTTCCCCAGGCCTCCTGCTTCCCTGCCTTCTCTTCTTTCAGAGCCTTCAGGCCCCCTGCTAGGGGGCTGAATCTCAGACTGCACATTGTCTCCCAGCCTCAAGTTGGCCCTGATCATTCCTGGTGGCTCCATTCCAGAGCTGTCCCCATTCCCAACCTTCCCTCCCTCCTAGGTCAAGCAGTCAGTCTGTTGTCTAGATAGTGTGTGTGTGTGTGTGTGTGTGTGTGTGTGTGTGTGTGTGTGTGTGTGCACGTGTGTGTGTGTGTGTGTGTGTGTGTGTGTGTATGCATGTGTTAGCTGGGGAGAGGGGAGGCAGGCGGGGCAGAGAACCAGTTGTAGGGAGAGTTCTGATTCAGGAGCCATTGAAGCTCTGCCTGGTCTCATTCCATCTGGGATCCCGAGCCCCTTCTGCCTCCTGAGTCTCTGAAGGAGGATGGGGATGGGGAAGGGGACAGAAGAGAAGGAATAGGAGAGGGTGGGATCATCTCATTTCCAGGCCTGACCTTTCCTATAGGTTGCAGTCTCTGCTCTGAGGGCAGCATCTTACCCTCTATAAATCTCTGTACACCAGCCTGCTGTCCTGGAAGGACAGGGAAAGACCTCTGCCCCTCTGGGATCCTTCAGCCTCCCCAGCTCAGTGTGCAGAAGACCAAGGCCTGACCCAGCAGGGAGCCTAGAACCAGGGGGAATGGTCGCTGGGAGCCGAAGACCCCCAGCCCAGGTGAGTGCACTCTGTCCTCAGACTTGACCCACAGCAGCCGAGGAGGCCATTTCCAGAGACAAAGAAGATTGTCTCAGAGGCTGCCCATCCCCTACCTATGGATTGTTTCTTTATGAAAATAGTCAGGGAATTCAATACAGTAGTAAAAACACTGGCCTGCTCTCCCATTCTGTGTTTTGAACTGATTCTCAGCACTTTGGCATCACAAGCACTAACTACTACCCTCCCCCCATCCCAGTTGCTGCCCTCCCGTGTTCATTTTTGAACTTTTCCCTCTTGATCCCTGAGTCACAAGGATGACCACTTCACTCCTTCCTCTCTCTTCTGCAGGGGTCTTGTCTTTGCTGCCTTTATGCATACCTACCACCCCTCCCCCACACATCCATAGAACTGCTCTCCCTCCCCTTTGCTTCTTTGGTCAAGCTCCCCCTGGCAGACCTTGAAGACAGGATGCTCTGCTTAACCTCCAGGGTCCCAGCTGCATAGTTTATCCATCTGGTGCATACTGACTGGTCCTGTCTTGTAGCTGGTTTGACCCTCAAGGGCAGTGAGGGTTGAAAGCACCAAATACTATGAGCTGGGTCTGGGGGTGTTCTGGCCTCCCGCATACTTTGATCCAGTGTTTCTGGAAAATATGGCAACTCCAGAAAACAGGTTAAGTTGGCTTGTGGGTCACATTCACATGTTCAAAGGCCCTTAGCAGAGCTGTTTGGAGCAGGCAAAAGGGAAGAGTATCTTCTTTCTCTCTTAATTAGCATTTGTTATGGTATATAGTATATGTTCGTTGTTAGACAGGATATAGGGAATGGGCTGAGATTGGGGAGCTATTCAAAGTCCCGGGAGTTTTCTTTTCCTGTGGGGCAAAGGAGGATACTGAAGGAGACAGTTTTCTTCAGAGGCATCAGGCTCAAAGGCAAAGACATAATGGAGTGACTCACTTTCTCCCCAAAATCCACCCTTGACCGTCTTCACAACAACCTGTATGGAGGTATTCTTATTATCTTCATTTCACGGTTCAGGAGACTGGAGCAAACAGAGGTTCAATGACTTACCAACCAGGGTCACATACCTCGTTAGTGTCTGAGGCTGGATTTGTGTTGAGGGCCGATCTTAAGAGTCTGATAAGGGTTTAAGATCCAAGGCAGAGTTTGACCTCTGCTCAGGCTTTCACCCAAAAGGGCTCATGGATTAAGTGGTACGGCTCCCCAATTCCTTCCTGATAAAGAGGTCTCTAAGACATCCCTTCTGTCTCTTTGAACCTTAGATTTACATATTTACTCCTCTATGCAGGTGGCCCCTAGGCGCCTGGGAAAACCTTGGAATTTACAGCCCAATCTAGGAACCCTGATAAGGAGGAAATTTGTGATTGTCACATCCTCAGCAGATGTTCTGGGGAGTATCTCACGGGGAGCACTCTTTGAAGTTAGGCTAGATCTTCCCTATAAATTCTGAGCCCTCAGATGAATACACTGAGTCAGTAATTCTACCCCGCCTGGCCCATGTCAAAAGTTACTTCATGCCTCTCCGTTCGGTGTACAATCTGGTTGTGGGCAACAGATTTGAACTCAGATCTTCATGATCTACCATTTCCTAGCTCCCCCAACATGGAATTGGTGTGCCCATCTTCCCAAACCCCCCCAACATTGACTGATGCCATTTTTGTCAGTTTTGCAGAGTATGACATGAAGCCTCAGTGTTTTGCTTTACATTTCCTAGTGGGTTGGAGCATTTTTTCATGTGGTTGGAAATACTTGGCAATTCTTTTGAGAATTCTTTGTTCATATCCTTTGACCATTTATCTATTGGGGAATAGCAGTTATTGTAGTTTTTGAGTTGTCTCAGTCACGTCTGACTCTTTGTGACACACTTTGGGGTTTTCTTGGCAGAAGTACCAGAGTGGTTAGCCATTTCCTTCCCCAGGTCATTTTAGAAAGGAGGATCTGAGGCAAACAGGCTTAAGTGACTTGCCCAGGGTCACATTCCTAGTGTCTGAGGCTAAATTTGAACTCAGATCCTCCTGATTCCAGGCCTGGTGCTCTATCTACTATGCCACCTAACTGCCATTGGCTATAAGTCTTTTTAAAAAATCATACTTCATTTTGTTCCCCAATTACATATAAAAACATTTTTTAACATTCTTTTTTTTTCCCCTAAATTTTGAGTTCCCAGTTCTGTACCTATGTCCTTCCTCTTACCCCTCCTGCATAGAGTAAGCAAGCAGAAACAGGTTATACATATGCAATCATGGAAAGCACTTCCATATTACTCATTTTGTGAAAGAAAATTTGAACCAAAAAGAAAGAAAGTGAAAAATAGTAGGATGCTTTAGGCCTCTATTCAGACTTAATGAGTTCTCTTTATGGAGGGGGATGGTGTTTTTCTTCATGAGTCCTTTGGGATTGTCTTAGATTATGATATTGCTGAGAATAGCTAAGTTATTCACTGTTGTTCATCATACAATATTGCTGTTACTTTATACAATGTTCTCCTAGTTTTGCTCATTTCACTCTGTATCTTTCATGTCAGTCTTTCATTTCTTTCCTTTCTTTTTTATTTTGGTGAGGCAATTGGGGGTAAGTGACTTGCCTAGCTAGTGTCAAGTGTCTGAGGCTGGATTTGAACTCAGGTCCTCTGACTCCAGGGCCAATGTGCTATCCACTGCTGCCATCTAACTGTCCCCATGTAAGTCTTTCTAGGTATTTCTGAAATCATCCTTCTTTTCTTTTCTTAAAGCACAATAGTATTCCATTGTAAGCATATACCATATGGTGTTAATGCATTCCCTAATTGGTGGACATCTCAATTTCCATCTCTTTGCCACCACATTATCTTAGGAAGATTCTGAGGATCTCCTGGCAAGATAAAATACTGAGCACTGAGGTCCTTCCCTCAAGTTAGACTGCCAAGCATTCACACTCTACTGCAGAGAGCACATCTCTGATGCGCTGGCTGCATTGTTCAAATGCCAAAAGAATGCTTGCCTAAAAGACTATTTTACAGAGATCTCATGCAAAGAAGACACTCACAAGGTGGTCAGAAGAAGTGATACAAGGACATTCCCAAGGTCTCTCTGAAGAACTTTGTAATCAATTGTGAGCCATGGGAGACATTGTCAAAGGACATGTGGCCTGCCCACATCAAAGAATGTGTTGTGCTGTGTGAGCAAAGCAGAATGGCAGTAGCTCAAAAGAGTGGTGAGATGTGCAAATTCAGAGCCATCTCCATCACAGATGTTCACATGGACTCTTTGCACCCAACCTGTGGTGGAGCCTTCGGGGATCTATTAGTCTGATCATCCATGATCAGACACACTATACCTTCACCCTGACATAGTGATGTCATTTTAGTCCTCCTTGAGCAAAAAGAACAACAAAAATGACCAACTATATAAATAATACTATAAAGAGGCAATATATCTTATTGACAAATGAAAGCAATCATAAAGTGAAGGCATAAGGTGTTTTGGCCATGACACATCGTACCCAGGGCAGCCTCAAGCCCTCAGTGTAATAACAGATAACTCTCCTTCACTTTGCTGGAAAATCTCATAGCCCTTGGTTCAGTCCAGATTGTGATTGGTAAGTCTCTAGAATTCTTTTCATGTTTTATTTATGTAAGATTTTGTTTCAGCCTCTCAGGAAATAAAGTAGATCTGTTCTTTTTCTTTCCTCTCTTCTATCATCACACATAAATTCACAAACCCCCACAGTATACACAATACTTGCCAGCTTCTTAGAAACTCCCCACAGAATTTTCTTTATAACATATCACTTTTATCAGTTCTGAGAAGAAAGAAATTGCAGATCATCTTCTGTCTCTACCACAGAACCTCCTCCCTCACAGGTAGAATACAAACTTTGGCCACATTCCATAGGGAGATACACTCCATAGTAAGACCTTTCTCAACTTCATTCCAACTCACCATATCAACTGCTTTTCTCAGTATTATGCCCTTTGGGCTCTTGATGATGATGCTTTCAAGTGTTGACTCTGATACTCATCAAGGGTACCACCTTGGGGTAAACTCCCTTCCTATGCCTTAGTTTCCTTCTCTCATTTCATGAGGGTTAGACTACAGGAATCCTGGAGTCTCTTTCAGCTCTGTGTCTTGTGACCTTTGATGGTTAAGGAGATGGTGACATTCAAGGATGTGGCTGTCGACTTTACCCAGGAGGAGTGGGGCCTCTTGGACCATCCTCACAAAGAGTGGTACAAGGAGGTCATGCTGGAGAACGCCCAGAACCTGCTCTCCCTGGGTAAGGACACTTCCCCTGGCCACTCTGAGTCTGCAATCCAAGGGAATATCTTCATTCTTGAGTGGGCTGGATTTGGAATCATTTATCAATTCCTAGAAGGGAAAAGTGCTGGTCTCCTGTGTCCTAGAAACACTTTCACCTTCATGATATTGCTGAGAATAGCTAAGTTATTCACTGTTGTTCATCATACAATATTGCTGTTACTTTATACAATGCTCTAGTTTTTCTCACTTCACTCTGCATCTTTCATGTCAGTCTTTCATTTCTTTCCTTTCTTTTTTATTTTGGTGAGGCAATTGGGGGTAAGTGACTTGCCTAGCTACTATCAAGTGTCTGAGGCCAGATTTGAACTCAGGTCCTCTGACTCCAGGGCCAATGTGCTATCCACTGCTGCTGCCTAACTGTCCCCATGTAAGTCTTTCTAGGTATTTCTGAAATCATCCTTCTTTTCTTTTCTTAAAGCACAATAGTATTCCATTGTAAGCATATACCACATGGTGTTAATGCATTCCGTAATTGGTGGACATCTCCTCAATTTCCAACTCTTTGCTTTTCTCAGTATTATGCCCTTTGGGCTCTTGATGACGATGCTTTCAAGTGTTGACTCTGATACTCATCAAGGGTACCACCTTGGGGTAAGCTCCAATCCTCACCGTCCCTGTGCCTAGAATGCTCACCCTGGCTTCCCTGAAGCCCCCGCTAGAGCCCCCCATCCACAATAAGCCTTTCTAGTCCTCCTTCGCTGTAGAGCCTTCCCTCTTAATGAGTTCTAATTTGTCCTGTCCATAACAGGGTTCTACACTGTGGTCGGCTCCCCAAGTCTGTGAGCTCCAGGAGAGCAGGGGATGTTTTTCTATAAAAGGTCAGTGCCCTGTGTGAAGAGAACCTGGAGGTTTCCTGATTCCTCCTGAAGCTGTCTCTTGCCAATTCTAGGTAGCTGGAGATCAAAGATCAGGTCAGTGTTGAAGCATCTCAGATGTAGAAATAATCTCACATTATGTAGTGCAGCCTTTCCCTGACATTAATTTTCTCTGCCACATCTCTGAGAACTGCTCAGGCAGCTTTTCCTTGTGACCCCTTCCTCTTTGGGATGTCCCTACTGTATGGAACATTCTTCTTAAGAAGCCTCAATTTATAGCTCACAACTCCTACATATGCCTGGTATGGCAGGTCTGTTCTGAATCTTCCTTTACACTGCCCCCATTCCAGCACAGATGGTGGGAAACACAGGAAGGTAATAAACATTTCTATTCACCTGCTTTTCACTAGCTGTTGTGCTAATCGCTTTCTTTAAAATATTATGTCATTAGGTGATATTATTATCCCCATATGACATTTGACTAAACTGAAGCAAACAGAGGTTAAGTGACTTTTCCAGAGGCACACAGCTAGTAACTGCCTGAGGCTGAATTTAAACCCAGGCATCCCTGACTCCAGGCCCAGGGCTCTCTCCACTGCACTACCAGCTGCATATAATTTCTGGATAATGGAAACTTTGCAGTGAGTTTATCCTTCTATACAGAAGGTTTGCCAAGAACACGTTTTCTAATTCCTAAGTGGCTCCATGATTTTCTCCCCCACCTCTCCCCAAAGGTCCCAAAAATAAATGCTGTGGAATCCTTGCTTAAGGAGTCCTGGGAACTATCCTGTGCTCCTTCCTTGCAAGCCCCTGTCAACGGCAGGAATAACAGACTGGCCAAGAATCATAATTGGGACTAAGGTTCATTGAGTTACCCAGCAGGAGAACCTCACCAGAAGAGGCAAACACTCCCTGAATGAACAGAAACAAGGTGTTTATAGGTTTCAGGGAGTGAGGAGCAGGGTAGGGGACAGGGCCAAAGCTGGTTCATCAAGGTCCCTTTTGCTGGAGCTAACGGCTAATCTGGCACATCCTGTTTTGGGTTATTGACATCACAAGCATTGATGGAAGAAGAAGCCAGATATGTGTGAACGTGATGGAGTGATTCTCCAAATGCAGTAGCTTTGTATGCACACTCTTTTCCCTCAAGGAAGCTAAATTACTAGTTTTGTTCTATCCTCATCTCTGACATCCCATGCCCAGGGCTGCCAGTTCCCAAAGAAGATTTGATCTCTTATTTGGAAGAAAAGGAAGCACCATGGCTGCTGGAGCAAGAAGGCCTGAAGAGCTGTTGTCCAGGTGAGTGAGGTGAAGCAGCTGGATGAGAGCTGTGATCACAGGAGGCTTCTAGGTGTGGTAGTAAAGCAAGTGCTAGATTGTGAGGCAGGAAGAACTGACTTGGAATTCTTTTTTAAACACTTATTAGCAGTGGGATCCTTGACAAGTCAAGGAACCTCTGAGCCTCAGTTTCCCCATGTGTAGAATGAGGGAATTAGACACCATGGCCTTTAAGCTGTCTTCCAGTGCTAAATCTGTGATCTGGTAAAGAGACATTTTTTATAATTTCTGTCAGGAACTTCCCTGACAGTGCAAAAAGGGGTTACACTTTCCCATATGGGCTCTTTCTTAGACCTTCTTCAAGTCAATGAGTATTTATTAAATGCCTGCTATGTGCCAGACCCTCTTCTAAGCACCAGGGACCTAAAGAGATACAAGGAACATCCCCTGCTCTCCTGGAGCTCACAGACTTGGGGGGCCGACCACAATGTAGAACCCTGTTATGGACAGGACAAATTGGAGCTCATTGAGAGGGAAGACTGTACAGTGAAGGAGGACTGGAAAGGCTTATTGTGGAAGGGGGGCTCTAGTTGGGGCTTCAGGGAAGCCAGCGTTAGCATTCTAGGCACAGGGATGGTGAGGAAAGCCTGTGGAGTCAGGTGATGGAGTGTCCTGTTCACAGAAGAGAAGGGAGGCCCATACCACTGCATTATAGCATGTTTGGTGGGGATATAAGGTGAATGAAAACTAGAAGAGCAGGAGAGGGGTAGGTAAAGAAGCAGCAGATGATTAATAGCCCTAGAGGGGATTTCATATTTGATCCCTTTCCTAGGGAGCCATAGCAGGTTGTTGAGAACATGGTGACATGGTCAGTCAAAACTTTAGGAAGATGAAATTTGACAAGTGGGTACAGGAATGACTAGAGTGAGGGGAGACTTGAGGCAGCTGGGCCAAGCAGCAGGTTCTTGCGGTACCTCAGGTGTGAGGTGATTGGGACCTGAACCAAGACAGTGGCAGTGTTGGGAGAGAAGGGAGTGAATGGGAGAGATGTTACCTAGGTGGGATCACAGGACTTTGCAGCAGAATGAATATGGGGGTCAGGAGTGTGAATGCATGAGAATCAGTGAGGAGTGCATGACACTTCATTTCTGAGTCATCACTATTGGGAAGATGCCTTGGAGACCATCAGGAAAGGATGAAGATGAGAAGGTTGGGGAGAAGAGAATGAGTTTAGTTTGGAGAACAATGATAGGAGTGTCAGAGACAGAGAGAGGGGAGAGAGAGAGAGAGAGAGAGAGAGAGAGAGAGAGAGAGAGAGAGAGGTCAAGAAGGATGAGGATAAATGGCCAGTGAATTTAGCAACTTTGAGAGTTTTGGCTTTTTTGGAGAGGAGTTTCTATTGAAGAATGAAACTGGGAGCTAGACTGCAGAGTATTTCAGAGAAAGCAAAAGGAATGAGTTGGAGACAACAGTTGTAAATGGGCATGTCCAGCTGTTTAGTCATGAAGTGGAAGAAAGAAATTAGAAAATATCTCTTGGACTGAATGGATCAAGTGTATTTTGAGGATTGGAAAGGAATGGTTTTATTTGTGGCAATAGGAAGGAGACATTTATGTGGGAGAGACTGAAAAGTAATGAAATAATGGGAGCACTGGAGAGGCAGTATACTGAGGTAAATGGTATACTGGAATGGGATGGTTTACACATGGAAAGGAGTTTGATTTAGCAAGCAGAGAGAGGACCGTTTCATCTGATACTGAGGTCAAAAAGGGAAAAAGGGCACCTTATTTGTGGGAGATGAGGAGGATAAGATAGCTCCGTTTTTTTTGTTGTTTTGTTTTAGGCAATTGGGGTTACATGACTTGCCTAAGGTCACACAGCTAGTAAGTGTGAAGTGTTTGGTCATAGGCCAGATTTGAACTCAGGTACTCCAGACTTCAGGGCCAGTGCTCTATCCACTGTGACACCTGGCTGCCCCAAGATACCTCCTGTTAAGTATCCTTTTTTTTTTTCAATTAAATGTAAGGCAAATTTCTCTGGTGAGGAGATCAGTGGTTGGTGGAGAGTGAGAGCAAACAATAAGGAAGGGTTGGGTAAGACTGAAAAATATTGGAAAAGCTGCTGTGGTGAATATGACACAGAATCACTCATGGTTATTCAGTCATTTCCATTGTTTCTGACTCTTCATGATCCAATTTGGGGTTTTCTTGCCAAAGATACTGGAGTTGTTTGCCATTTCCTTTTCACTTTTACAAGTGAGGAAAGTGAGGCTAACAGTCCTAAGTGACTTCCCAAGGTCACACAGCTAGGAAGTGTCTGAGGCTGAATTTGAACTCTAGTCTTCCTGAATAGTTGTCTATCTACTGTACCACCTAGCTACCCCAATAGAGTCATTTAGGGAGATGTCAAAGGATAACCTTCCCACAGTGAGGGCCACACTAAGATTATGTATCCTAAATGTGTAGTGGACTGAGGCAGCCTGGTTTTATGATTTTTTCTCTCTCCATTCAGCAGTATCTATGTAGTAGCAAAGGTTGGGGCTTCCTTAGAATTAATCCAAGGCTGTGTGTTACACGAATCATCCACCTGTGTCCCTCCCCTGATCTCTGAGGCTCAATCTTTGGCCCATTCTTGGATAATCATTGGCCAGATTCATTGAGTTGACAGCCACTCTCAATTTTGAGAAATAGGGGTAGAAACTCCCAGCTGTCACATAGTATGAGATGCTTCAGGAGCCTAGAAAGAAGTCTCTGTGATCTTCACTGTGGATCTGGTCAGGTTCCAACATGGTTAGAACTAGACAAAAAGGCCATTCAATATAGGAGATAAAGTTCAGGAAAGAGGCAGAAACAGGGCTGAGGCCAGAACATGCCTTTGCCAACTAAGACAGAGACCAGAATACAGGGCTTGAGGTAGGGCATGGGATCTGGTGTCAGCCCTGGGCCCAGTTATTATTCAGTAAGCATGGATGAAGCACCTCACTAAGCTTTAGGAAGGGGAAGGCCAGTACCTGCTGACAAGGAGCTGCCAACGTGGCCTACAAACATGGAGGTGGTTGAGAAGAAGCAACAGATCAGGGGCCTCGGACTTAACTGATCCAGGGAAAAGAGAGTGTTTGGGAATGGAGAGACATGTAGTTCAATGGGATATGAGGGATCTCAAGGAGTGAGGCTAGTAATACTTTAAGGAGGAGAGTGAAACTGGGGAGGAAAGAGTGGCACACCTCAGAGACATTGTGGATTCTGCTCTAGAGCACAACAATACAGTGAATAATGCAGTCAAGTGAGTCAGCTGAATTTTTGGTTTCTCAGTGGATATAAAAGTTATGGTTACTTTATACTGTTGTCTATTATGTGTACAATACTATCATGTCTAAAAAAAGTACATACTTTAATTTGAAAATATTTTAATTCTTAAAAGTAACTATGTGCTGAGCCTTCATTGAGTCTTCATCTTACTGCTGGTGGACCAGTGTTGATGGTGTTGACTGATTGGGGCGGTGCTTGCTCAAGGTTGGCAATGGCTGTGGCAATTTCTTAAAATCAGGCTACAGTGAAGCTTGCTACACTGATTGACTCTTCTTTTCCCTTGAACTTAAAGGCCCATTGTATGATTAGCACTTGGTCTAATTTCAATATTGTTGTGTCTCAGAGAATAGGAAGATCCAAAGAGGGGGAGAGAATAAGTCAAATTGCTATAATAATTTTTTTTTCTTAAAAAAGAAAACAAAACAAAAGAAAGTGGAATGAAGAAAGGCCATCTAGTACCATGGAGAGAGCATGCCCTCTTGCAGGGTTGGAGTTCTAGCCTCAGCTGCACAGGTGTTGGGCAGGTCACTCAGCCATTCTCAGCTCATGGCCTGAGTTGTGTGTGTAAGTAGAATATTTGGTGCACCTGCATTTCAAGTGTTTGTGAGGATCCAATTTGATTGTGTGTAAAGCTCTTTGTAAATCAAGCATCCCTGAGATGTGAGGTAATGGCATTTTGAAATGATTTGTTTTGTCCATTTCACTATGAAGATTTTCTCTTAGCCTGGTGAAGTAGAATGTAGATCAGTTAATTTACTTTCTGGCAATGGAGGGAAGGGATTATAATTATATATGTGTGTTCATGTGTCTCTATATATGCTTTATTGTTTGTTTCTTGCAGAAAGAGAGATTAGACCTGAAATGAAAGAGACTACTGGAAAGTTAAGCATTTCTGTGAAACAAACTCACAAGGAAAACTTCATGAGTGATGGTTCTTGCAACTTCAGTGGGAGACAAATATGTGCTGTACTTCACAGAATCCACACAGGAGAGAAATGTTACAATTGTCATCATTATAGGAAAGAACCCAGTAAACAGGCATCCCTTATCTACCACCAAAAAATTAATACTAGAAAGAAACCACATGAGTGTCAAGAATGTGGTGAAGCTTTTAGTGAACGTTCAACCTTCATTATACATCAGAGAATCCACACTGGACAGAAACCTTATGAATGTGATCAACGTGGAAAGGCTTTCACACAGAGCTCCAGTCTTGCTGCATATTAGAGAATTCACACTGGAGAGAAACGGTATGAACGTAATTAATGTGAAAGAGCTTTCAGACTGAAGTCCAAACGTACTGTACTTCAGAGAATCCATACTGGAGAGAAAACTTATGAGTGTTTGGACTGTGATAAAATTTTTGTGTACACCATCTCCTTACCAAGCAAATCTAATCAATGTAAAGTATAAGAGACATAATTTCTTTCGGTAATTGTTTCATTAATTATAGCTAGTGAACATTTAATAACATGATGATCATTTAGGTATGCTTCGTAAAGCAAAGCTGAATCATGGGGCTTATGCATGCTTATGTGACCCTAGATAAGTGGGAGTTACCAACAGGTATAAATAAATTCTATGAAACTAATGAAATTCCACCTAGAGTAATATGTATACCAGTTATACCTTTGACCCAACTCAGGCTCAACAGACTCCAGCTTTGATTCAAAATGCCACCCCTTCATTGAGTAGAATTGATATTATCAGATCTTGGAATGCAGAAAATAGGAGAATGGCTCCAATCTCCATGATCTGGGGACTCATTCATGGTAATTCAACATGTATTGATTATGTGCTAAGTTCTGGGGTGCAAAGCAAGGTGAAACAGCCCCTGCCCTTAAGGAGCTCGCATTCTAAAGCATTTCATCAAGTAAGTCAACAAATATTTGTTAAGCACCTGGTTTGGACTAAGCAACTAGTAGGGTCTTGGGATTCCAAGAATGGAAAAAGAAAGGAGAAAATTTACCAACAACTACACACACACACGCACACACACACACACACACACACACACACACACACCCCTATACATACATACTTACTAAGACATACAGTGGTTATAGTTCATAGGAAGACCTGAGGTCAAATCTGGATGTAATACTAGCTAGTTTACCTCTGTTTTTTTACTGTAAAATTGAGGTAATAGGGCCTACACAGCAGGGTTGTTGGGATCTGATGAGATAATATTTGTAAAGTGATTGTGCCTGGCACAAAATTAAAAATTGTTTCCTTGTTTCCTACTGTCAACCTGAAAGTTGGTTAAAGAGGCAACAAGCTAGATGATGAGTAAATTCGTATATGGGGCCAGAACTTTAACTCTGACTGACTTAAGCAATTTGAAATAGACAATTTATATTCTTAGAGCAATCCTAACTCAGGATGTCTGAGTCACTCAAAAAAATGTGTAGCCTCCATATGTTTTTAACATATACCATGGGAAAAGAAGTTTCTTAGTTGAAGAGTTTGTAAATACAATAAGACAAGAGAAGTAACAAAGTGTCCATTGGAATTATAGTCCCAGGATATGTGTGTTTCCCCTACATAACTTATGTCCACAGGATACCAAGATAAGAAAAGTCCCACTCTTCCAGACAGTGTCTGTTCCCAGGCATCCCGTCCTTAGTGATCACAGATAGGAAGAATGCTGGTCAGCTCCAGCTGGCCCTGTAGTTGCTGACACAGGAAGGGGCACTCCAGGTTCACTCAGAGAACAAAGAAAAGCATATCTATTATGTTGGGGTGCTCCTTGTGGTTGACACATTCAGCCTTTGGCCCTTATTGGGGTTCAAATGATCTTAAATGATTATCACTACATACCAACTATGTACAAGGTAAATTGCAGGAAATCAGAGAAGGTAGACTACAGAAGGAAATAAAGTTCCCAACAAACTCTACAGGTAAATTAAGTCAGGTTACAGTTTGAATGGGATGTCCCAGTGAAGACTCCTCAGTGTAATTAAGGTTTGGGATAAGGCTGAGTGGGATGAGGGGTCCTGTGAAAACTTCTTAGAAGAATAGAAATTGTATTAGAATCAAGGCAGGCAGGTATAGCAGCCTGGCAGGCCTAAGTTTCGATTTACTAAAAATCACCTCATTTGTGGGAATTCAACCCCAAGTACTGCCCCTTCTTATGGATTATTCACTAGTTAAAGTTTGCCAAGCCTGAAACTCCTGAAGAAGCCCCCCATATTTTCTTCTCAGTCATGGTGACCTGGCCATACAGTACAGTGTCTAGCTTAACTGCATATCTTTAATTGCTTCTTTGGTATTACTTCAGCAAAGTAAGAAATATAGATATGTATATTGTGTTCATTGGTTTTTTTTTTCAGTTTCTATGGGCATTGAGAATGTGAGCCAAATATTGGACAGTTGGTAGGAGGGGGAATTTTCCCTTTAGGGCTATTTAATCAGGTCCTTTGCTCTTCTACTGTGTCTCCCCTCATCAGAGCATCCTGGTGGAGTGATACCCAAATCTCAAGGTTTGAAATAATAATAATAAATTAATTTTCTGTTTTTCCTTGGATACCTCTGTGTTTTTTAATTTCAGTGGCATCCCACACAAGTTTAAATGACATTTAGAGCATTCACAAATAGAATGAGGTGGAGGAGGATGTACATGCAGCCAAGGAGTCAGAGATGATGAGGCTAACTTTTCCCAGCAGCTATGACAGCCTCATCTAAATCTGCCCAGTAACTGGGAAGCTCTGTCAGATAACAAAATCCTTGCTTCCTTAGCCCACACTCTGTGTATGTGGTTAGATCATCTCCTTAAATTGGACCCATCACATTTGCTTCCCCCCTTCCTGACACCCTTTTCCCTGCCATTAACTACTCGCTAGGAACTTTTGGCTAAGTACCCAAAAATTGTGCATAAAAACAAGCCCTAGTCCCTCTGTAAGTTGCCAGGGTCAAGCTGCTTCTTTGGTGTCAATAAAGCTCCCAATGACTATGGAGAAGGTCTGCTGTGCACAGCTAACTCAGCTCACCACTAGAGCCAGGATCCTAACTTTGAAGGAACAAGACCAGCTTAACCTTCTATCTCGAATGCGCATTGATGAGGCAGGAGACAAGATGGAAGCAACTCTGTTTATTTTTAGCAAAGCACTTACTTATATAGTAAAATGACAGGAACCCTTTCTCAAGTTACAATGACATATAGCCCATGCTGTGCTCAAGGACAGTGAATGCACGTCCTGTGCATTTATCTGACTGCAATCCCAGAATAGACTGCTAATGACCATACAACAGCTAGGGGAGTTACAGATTGTTAAAGAACCATGAACCAGGCAGACCCTTGCTCAGAGATCAGCATGAACAGCCTGTGGCCCTCTACATCCTTACAGATCCCCAACAACTCCCCCTATTTGTTTTTGACTGAGACAGAGCATATGAAGCTCAGTTCCAAAATCCTTTATCTAATTAGCTATGCACCTGAGCAGACACGGTCCAAAACACAGCATGGCCAGCAAAATCAAACATAATGGCAATAAGGAACACAATAGAGATGTAAACCCAATGTCCAAGGTCATTAAAAGGATTATGGAGTTTATCTATCCAATCAAGTACATGTTGGGCAGTTTAATCTGGCATCAAATCCTTATCAGCCACCCTTGCAATGTCTTTAGCAATTTCATATAAGTCATCAATATCCACTGCAATAGTAGAATTTCCAAACAGCCCATTTAGATGTCTACGTATTCTTTGCCAATCCCATTGGGATTTATTGTATTTAACATTGGTAAGGCAAATGAATTCATACCTATAATCACATTTCAAATGTGTTCTATATTCTAATATATCCAATTCATCACCTATTTCAATAATGGTTTCCTTCATTCCCTTAAGCATATGGTAAATTTCATCATCTATCCTTTTTCGTGTTTGAAAACCTTTAGATACATTGCGAGCTAATTGATTCATAAAATCATTTCTTTTCTTGCGATAGATATAGATTGAGATGAAGATACAGAAGCAGTTATGATACCTATAAGTGAAACAATTCCTAATGCTACATATAAAATACATCTCTTTTTCCTAGCAACTGCTGATTGATTACTTTGGTCTAGTATTCCAAAAATATGATCAGAACATGACTCATACCAATCTTTGCTTTTTACAGGCACCAAGGCAAACTTTTGTTGCGTAATAATGAAAATAATTTGGTCTCTAATCTTGGCTCCTATACATTCAGACATCCTGCAATTAATACAAGTGACATTATATTCCCCTGAATCCACAGTGTTATATTAACATTCTGTGCTCTTCCCCACATAAATGCATGATTACCAGTCAAACAAGCTCGCATTGTCAAATTATCGTGGAAGGTCCCTTGCAAATTCGTGATGTTTATGAAGGCCTAAGGCTGCCCACGCCTTCCACAACTGATTTTCAGCCCCTCTGTCATGGAGGGAAACCCACTGAGGAAATGGAAACCTGCCAAAAGCCCAAGTATGATTGTTTTTCTCCCTAGTATAATTGTGCCAGGATTGTAAGGTAAAATTCTTTTGTAACACAACACAATGATGTTCTGAAGTATGATAGAGTAACCAAGGAGGATACCCTAAGCTCTTGCTAATCGGTGTCACATGATAGCATGGCTTTGAATTACTTGGACATCTGATAGGTCTGTCATTAACACACTGTGACCCCAAGATGCCCATGTAAGAAACCTTATAAAATTGGAAAAGACAACAGTATAAGGAGGGGGTGCCGTGTTACTAAACACACACCCATCAAAATGGGTGGTGACATTAAATAATTGTAAACACATGGAGTCTTTCCTGTCATTGCCTTTTGTAACACAAATAGGCAGCACCAAAGCCACACCAGTAAAGTTCATTTTTACAGTGTGTTGAGACCGGTTCTTAGGTGATATGAAATGAAATTCCTTGCCAAAACCTGTGGAGGCATTTCCTTGCAGAATGACCTCAGGTATTGTCTCTCCCCATGTAACTAGTCTGGGCCATGGTGGTTTTGTCACAAAGGCCCATCATGTTGTATTTCCTGTCTCTGCTGCTGCTGTATTCTGTATCCCTGCTGACGATAACGACAAGAGGCACAGCTTGGTTAAAAGTTCTTGTAGTGCCTTCTTCTTATTCTTTCGGCTCCTTCAATTTCCTGGCCGGCCTGTGTTTTCTCTTCTGCTTGCCTTGTCCCTTCTGAATGGATAATGCGGACATCCTTTGTTCTGACCCAGAGTTCTCCATCACCTGTGAAAATAAGAACAAACCCTTGCCCCCAGGTTAGCACTTGCCCTGGACCCTGCCAGACACCGTCAACGTCTCTCCACATAACTTTCATATTATGTTTAGGAGAAAGGAATCTGTTTGATTTAGTGGTGTCACTAGTACTGTTGTCATTTCCTGCCAGATATTTCATTGCAGGAGAGAGGTTACAACTATCGAATTTTAAATAATTTATAGTGTAGAGTGCAGTGTTCAATTGATGCCAAGGGGATCCCTTAGCTCCCCTTTTTTGTTTTTGGAGCACCATTTTCAAGGTACGATTGGCACGTTCAACTATGGCCTGACCACAGGATTATAGGGAAGGCCAGTAGTGTACTAATAGAGAACTCAGTACAAAACTTTTTAAAACCTTGAAATATATGCAGGACCATTATCAGTCTTTAAGCATTGGGGTGGGCCAGCGAAGGAAAAACAATGAAGCAAATGATTAACAACATTGCGAACAGCCTCACCGCTTGAGCAGTAGCAAAAATAAAGCCTGAATAAGTATCAATAGAAACATGAACATATTTTTGTCTTCCAAAAGGAGAATAATGAGTAACATCCATTTGCCATAAGGTGTTAGGTGTAAGTCCCTTGGGGTTATGGACATCAACATGGAAAGGGGGTTGAAAAGGCACACAATAGCACAGTGCTTAACAATTTCACGTGCTTGTGATTTTGTTATGCCATATAAAGTTCTTAAAGACCTAGCAGATAAATGTAACTTATTATGACTATTCCTTGCTATTTCCACATTCATTGTTAAAGACCTATCAACAATATCATTACCTTCAAAAATTGGTCCTGGGGCAAGAGTGTGGGAACGAACATGCAAAACATAAAATTTTGTCCTATTCTGTATCATAAGTTGTATATCATTAAGCAGCTGACATATATTGTTACCAGTATTTTTTATTACAGCAGTCTCTAAATGTTTTAGAATTCCTTCAACATATTTACTATCTCAGATAATATTCATTGGCTCCTCATATTTTTGAAATGCACAATAGACAGCATATAATTCATTCTGTTGTGTGGATATAAAGGGTGTTTCAATCACATGTAACTCCTTTCTTTTAGGGCACCAGATAGAGGCCTTATTCATCTTAGTGGCATCAGTAAAGACATTAATCCTGTACGGGTTCACCTGCTGTAAGTGTGGGTTGTATCCAAGGCCAATTCTCAAAGATTGCGATATTAAAGGTTTTCCAAAAACAAGTGTCAAATTTACATGTATTTGCCAATTAGGCAACTTTTGTATTGCCTTTTCTATAGCTTGTTGAGGAAATGGAAGGTATATGACTTCCGGATGTGTGCCACACAACATTAATTACTTAAAGTATTTTTGGCTGAGATGGTAAATATACTCATTCTAAAAAGCCTGTGTTTCAGATGTATCACTGCTGTTGGAGAATTTGGAGTGTTAAATATAGAAGCCTCCACACTTTCATGCATGTCAATCCTGTTTGTGTGTGCTTCAACTACTTGTTCCTGAATACACAGCAATGTGTGTTTCGCCTCAGGGATCTAATTGAGGATCACCTCTAAGGCAATCACATAAAGGTAAAATCATTAATGTTTTCAACTTCATGGGTCTGTTTTTAGGATGTGAACTATTTTTTCTTGAAGTTCTGTGACCTATATTTATGGAGGATGTTTTTGAATTTTTTCTGGGGCTGTTTGAAGCTCATGACTTTGCAACAAATTTTGTATTTTTAACAAGATTTCTTCCAACACTTCAGGATTGGAATGAGCACATAAAACGTCATCCATGTAATGTATCATTTTTAGCTTTTTGTAATGGAATAGTAAAAAGGCAATCTTTTAAATCAATAACTATCAAAGGCTAGGAAGTCATAAAGCATCGTTAATTTTCCTGACTTCTTTGCAATAATAAAAACAGGTGAATTTTAAGGAGCCCAAACAAGTTCACTGGATTTCACTTTGTATTTTGTCAGTTTTATGGATAGAAAAAGCACAAACAGTGGGCGGGAGAAAATAACAGCTCTCAGTAAATGTAAAATATAGCGCCCACAAATTAGGGGAAATGAATTGAGTTTTAGCTATCTGTTATCCTAGTAGTTTAACTTAATCTTAAAATAATTGATTAGTGGTGATTTATTAGGCAAGCTAAAAGTAATTAATATCCTTAAAAGTCATGTGAAAATTATTAAAAATTATCAAGGAATCTTGATTAATTTGTAACATTTTGGTGGTATACCTGCAGACTGCAGAACAATACACCCAAAGTAAGCAAAGGGTGACACCCTCTGTACCCTTTCAGGGGTAATTATAAATCTATGAGACTGAAAGGCTTGTTGACTGAAAAGCTTGTTAAAACTTGGGCATTAATAAGGAAAGTTTGGTAGTAGTAGGACAACTGCAAAGTTTATCATCCATACAATAAATTATTTTTGTCTGGGAATATTTCTGACTAACAAGTTTAATAGTGTGATGAACAAAATTTCGGCACATGGTAAGAAACATTCCTCCTTAAAGGATCATAATAGGGAAAATGGGAAATACTGATTTAATGAGACAACCATATCCAAATTCACAAAATCAAAACAAAGTTAATTATAGTTCTAAGAGTCTTTTACCTCAAGCTGTAAGTTTCACTGATTATGGCTTAAATCAGATACAGTTAATTATTTTCATAGAAGTGCAATAATGAATAAAGATTTACTAGGACTCACATATATAAGAAATTTTACTTAACATCCTTTCTTTCCCACATTTAAACTTGTCTTGGTGAAAAAGCCAATTATTAGAAATCATTTATATAAAGTTGCAATTTCTCAGTAAGCTAAATGAATTGTTTAGGAACTCAATAACATAAACAAATTCTTCTCTCAGAGCAGACAACCTTGCCAGTTGGTAGGAGCTTTTGGCAAGCTTACAAAGTTAAGGGAATTTCCTTGTGTCCCTCCTTTTCACTCAGAAGTAATTAAGAATTCTAGGTCTTAGCTTTAAAACAGTAACTTCAAATAACTTAGTTAACAATTTTGGCAATTTTCATGAGTGATAGTTAAATTATTTTAGCTCTAAGCTGTTCTTTTAATCATAGGTAAAGATAGAAATACCTGATTTTAAATGATAGTTATAAAACATCATAGAACAAAATTAACCAGACTTGATAAAATAATTTAGCTGGATTTACACAGTTATCTCACTACCTTTCAGTTTCTTTTAGTTCACATTTTAATAACATCAAAATTATTAAAAATTGCTTGACATAACACATAAAAGTGTACCAATTTGTAATGAGACTAGATTTTTAAAACTTGAAACATGCATATTGCCAATGTGAATGAACTAAATTATCTTTAGATTGTGTTCCAATACTTAAAAACTTTTCTTTTTGATTTGAAGAGGAAAACTCCTCCTCCTCCTCCTTCTTTTCTCCCCCACCCCAACCTGGCCAGGGTTGGAATTCAGAGAAAGGAAGAGAATATTTTTCAACATAATCTTTCAATCTTACACCCAAAGCTTTGGCCAGAGCTTTAGAATGCAAAAGAGAAAGAGAATTTTTTCTCCAAAAGTTTCCAAATCTTTTACTCTCAAATCATCTATTCTTGCTATTCATGCAAACAGATTATATTATTCTTTCTATACATACTTTTCTTATTCCTGTATGCTTAAACTTTCTTGCCTTTTATCAAATTATATAACCTAAATAATGAAGTACTTTTTCTCCCATTCTCTCCCCCACCCACCCACTCCCGGGAAATGCTGCTGGTATTAGGGAGGGGAAAGAAAGTCACTAACAGCATTTCAGCACAGACCATCATTCACACAGACACAGGCAAACATAGAACAAAATGACAGGGAGAATCCAAAAGTGAGAAACTTGTCAGAAATTCCCCACACAAATGAAATAATACTATTTTTTTTATTTTTTTTTCATGGTATTCTAAAACCAGGCAAAATCTTTCTTAAGGTTTTGGTTTTTATAAAAGGAAACTTTTTCACTTTGTAATGCTCCATAATGTCCACAATATAGTGCTGTGACTACACGTTTCTTTTCTACTTCCCCTTGGGGATTTTTGAAATTCCTAATGGCACACGGCAGGGGCTTCCTTTGTTCTCACAGCTCCTACAAGCTCATTTTTATAAGATTATAGATAGTGAAAGTACCCAGAGGAACTGATTTTGGGCCTTTGGTGTTATAAAATTCTGTCGATTGTTCTCCCACTATTTTCCATTATTCTAAATCTAAACTCCCTTCTCTGGGGTGCCATGGAGATTTTATATCAATAATATCTAGAAACTCTCTTATTTTCTTAGGAGTTACCGAGCACCCCTGTTCCCCAATCACTTTATATATTACTCTAACATTCTGTTCCTTATCTAAGAGTTTACCTAGATGTTGCCTCATGATAAGACTTTACCTTACCTCTCCGTAGTTTTGTGCCACGGGAATACGATTCGGAGACCTCTCACAAGGAGGCTGCCTGGCTCCAACGGACCTCGGTGTCTTGATGTGGGTGTCGCGTCTTCTTGGTCCAGACGTTTCCCCACTGTTTCACGCAGCTGTCTTACTCTCCGTATCTTCTTCACGGCAGCAGTGCAGCCCCACGTTGGGCGCCAGTTTGTTGTGCACAACTAGTTTACTTGGCTGTAGAGCCTACCTAGGGCCCAGGATTTCCCAATCACCTGATGAATCAAGACCAGCTTGATTTTCTGTCTCCAATGCGGGAGACTAGATAGAAGCAACTCCGTTTATTTTTAGCAAAGCACTTACTTATATATAGTAAAATGACAGGAACCCTTTCTCAAGTTACAATGACGTATAGCCCATGCTGTGCTCAAGGACAGTGCATGCACCGCCTGTGCGCTTATCTGACTCCAATCCCAGAATAGACTGCTAATGACCATACAATAGTTAGGGGAGTTAAAGATTGTTAAAGATCCAGACAATGCAGCACCAAACCAGGCAGACCTTTGCTCAGAGATCAGCACCCGACAGGGGCCTCTGGCCTCAGTGAGACCTCATGAACAACCTGTGGCCCTCTACATCCTTACAGATCCCCAACAAAGGTCTAAGTGAATCCTTTCACACCTAAACCATCCCTCCCAACTCTAAACCTCAAGGAGGGACAGGTAAGATTCTCCTCTGGCTTCTCATCTAAGGAGTGTGTAAATTTTCACATTCCATGAGGCATATTTCAGTCAGGTGAGGTTAATATGAACCCAAAGTTTCAAGGGGAATGAGATGAAAGTTAAAATTTGCATAACTGTAGGAAGAGCCCAGGTGGTTAGCAGGTTTTCCCTCACTAAACTGTAGGACCCCTGAGGGCAGGGACTGGTTTGGTTTGCTGGCTTGGGAGGGGAGAAAGGTCTGGGAGGTGTTTTTTGTTTTTGTTTTTTGGCCTCTCTTTGTATATCCAGCCACTTGATCTCTGAAACTTTTTTCCTTAAGGATCAACTTTAACCCCAAATCCATCTGACTCTCCAGCCTTTGGTGTCAGGCCAAGCCTTGATTGGTCACTCTTTTGACTCTGAGGCTCACAGTGAATGTAAGTAGCAATTGTTTCTGTTTTGGCCAGAAACCCTGAGGGTCTTCCCTTCCCAGAATAAATTTTTTTGCTTTTGGATGAAGAAATTGGGGTTAAGTGACTTGCCAGGGTCACACAGCTAGTGTCAACTGTCTAAGGCTGAATTTGAACTCTGGTCCTCCTGACTGCAAGGCCAGATCTCTATCCACACTGCCCTGCCACCTAGCTGCCCCACTGATTTTTTTTTTACTGGATAAAAAGGCCATTCTCTGCCTCTTTTCTTATTTAGCCTTAATCACTGAATCAGCATTGACTCAGTCACACTGAAACCTGTTGAAGCCCTTAGCTTAAAAAGGCCAAGGTCCCCCACTGCATCCTGAGTCATCTCCAGTCATCCTGATCTATATCTTCCCACCCAGATGGCTACAGGGGAGAGAGTGAGGCTGGTGACTTTGCTCTGCCCTGCCTCACTTAAATCCAATTCACTTGCAAGTCATGGCCTTAATTTCCTGAAGTTAAGGTCCTGTGGGAGAACAAAGGACAAACAACAACGACAACATTAAACTGGAGAAGGAAACAAATGAATGCAAGGAGAGAAAAAAATAGCAGTGTAAGAAGAGTGGAATTGGTGAAGAAATAGTAAAATTTACGGTAATAATACCTAATATTCATAGAGTCCCTACTATGTTCCAAGCAATTTACAAATATGATCTTATTTGATCCTCAGACCCTGTCAAAGGGGGCTATTATTGTCCTCACTTTACAGATAAGGAGACTGAGGCAAATAGAGGAAAGGTGACTTGCCCAGTGTCACCCACTGAGAAAGTGTCTGAAGCTGGATTTGAACTCAGCTCTTCCTGATCCAGTCATAGTCCTCTACCTATTGTGTCACCTGGCTGCCTTCTTGTAGAAAACAACTTATAACTAGAGTGGATGCTTCAAATAGAGGAGAAAAGAAGATATGGTGTAATGCAGAACATTATTTTACCATTTAGGTAGTAGGGCCCTTTAGGCAATGGAAAGCAGAAGTTGCTGCTTAATCTTGCCCCAGACCTCTTTGCTCCTAAATCTAAACAATAGTGAAATGTACTCCTGCATGGCTTACGCACAGCCCATACCTGCAAAGCAAATGGATAAGAAAACTTGCAATACAATGGCTTTAGATAATTATGTTTACACCAGAAACCAGGACACCTGGTCTGGTTTGTGGGATCCCTGACCTGTAATGATGGGGTGCTCGGGTGCTTGTGCTTATACTTTTGCCCCAAAAATGCCTCCCTAGTCTCAGAAACACTGTCTCTGACAACCACTCCCCAAACCAAGGACACTGTGCCTAGCAGTATTCATGCATGGGCCTCAGCAAGATCCTTATCTGGCTGCTCAGGAAAGTTTGCAGAGCATTATCATATCTACACAGAGGGAGAAGGGTATCCTTGACCAGCCAGACTTCAAAGATCCATCCCCCTCCCTGTCCTGTATACTCCCTATATAAACCCTAGCTCAACCCCTGATGGGGGCTGCTTGATTTGGATGTGAATATCCCTGGCAGCCGCACGCTAATAAAGTCCACAATTTAAAATTAGCTTGGGTCATCAACTCGCTCATTTCTCGTAAGATAGTGTTTCAGCGAGTCATCTGGGAATGGGATGCATGGAAAAATAGGTGGGCTGAGGAATGGTGATCAGGACACTCCAATGATTAATTACTAGTGTTGATCTCATTCTCTTTATGTTTCTAAGGATTGAGGCAGAAGCAAAGAGGAAAGATCAGAGATATCATGGAGAAGATGTAATTAATTCTCACAACAATATTTGGATGTGATGAATTCACCTGTAAAAGTAGAGTAGCAGAATATATTAGAAAGCAGAATTCACCATGTTATTTAAAAGAAATGCCCTTGACACAAAGATTCACACAGCCTTCAAATGGATGGATCACATTCTGTGATACCTTTGGAACTTGGTCCCTAAACACCTTCCACCACCTGCCCTTTGACTTCATGATAACCACTAGACCTATAAACTAAAGAGTTAAATGGCCCATATACACTACATGAAATTACATGTTTGTTGTTGCTGCAAAGATCTGGAAACTGATGGTGCCTGTACATTGGGAAATGACTGAAGAAATGATGGTCTAAGAATGTAATGGAAAAGTATGGAGCCATCTTGTTTTCCTTCCTTTTGAAAGAGGACCAAAGTGACATCACTACCCCAGAGTCAAGTTTGAGTCTGTGCACCTGTGGCTGATAACATCAATACAAGTTCGGAATGTTCTACCACAGGTTGGGCACAAATAGTCCTGGTGAACCTTTGGGGTGGCTTCTCTAAGTTTGCAGATGTTGTGTTTCTCTTGAGCTACTTCAATTCTGCTCTGCTCCTATAGCACAGCACCTTTTCTGATGGTGGCACGCCATACTGAGAGGTCCTGTGCCAGGGTTTCCTGTGTCACACAATCAATTCCAAAGTTCTGAAAAGAGACCTTGAGAGTGTCCTTGTATCTCTTCTTCTGACCACCATGTGAACTTTTGCCATGATGAGTTCTCCATAAACTAGTCTTTTTGGCAAGCTTACATTTGGCATTCAAACAACATGGCCAGCCCATCAGAGTTGCACTCTCTAAAGCAGAGTTTGAATGCTTGGCAGTTTAGTTCAAGAAAGGATCTCAGTGTCTGGTATCTTATCCTGCCAGGTGATCTTCATAATCTTCCTATGGCAATTTAAATGGAAGTGATTCAATTTGCTAGCATGGTACTGGTATACTGTCCAGCTTTCACAGACATAGAACAACGAGGTGAACACAACAGCTCTGTAGACCTTGAGTTTAGTAGTCAGTCTAATACCTTTTCTCTCCCATACTTTCCTTCAGAGCCTCCTAAACACTGAACTGGCTCTGGCAATGTGTGTGTCAACCTCATTATCAATGTGTACATCCTTGGAAAGTACACTGCCAAAGTCAATGAACTTATCCCCAGCACTCAAAACTTCTCCATTTGCTGTAACCGAGGGTTCCACATATGGATGGTGTGGTGGTGGCTGATGGATCACCTGTGTTTTCTTGATGTTAATTGTTAGGCCAAAATTTGCACAAGCAGCAGATTATTGATCCATACTTTGTTACATCTCAGCTTCAGAGGCTGCATGGAGCCTGCAATCATATGCAAACAGAAAATCATGCCCCAACACTCCCTCCACTTTGGTCTTGGCTTGTAGCATCCTCAAGTTAAAAAATTTACCATCAGTGAGGTAGCTGATCTTCATGCCATGTTCATACTTATTGAAGCTGTTTGATAACATGGCTGAAAACATTATGCTAAAAAGCATGACAGCAAGCTCACATCCTTGTTTCACTCCATTGGTGACTGGGAAAGCTCGAAAGTATCATCCCTGCTCAAGCATGTCATCATGCAATTGGCGGACAATACTGATGAACTTCTCTAGGCAACCAAATTTTGGCATAATTTTCCATAAGCCCTCATGACTGACAGTATTGAAGGCCTTAGTCATATCTACAAACGTTGTGTACACACCTCTGTTCTGCTCTTGGCATTTCTCCTGGAGTTGTCAGGCAGCAAACACCACATCCAGTGTTCTTTGGTCCTTTCTAAAGTCATGCTGGCTCTCAGGCAGATGACCATGGTCCAGGTGAAGGATCAGCCTATTAAGTAGAACTCTGGCAAGAATCTTGCCAGCAATGACTACAAAAGAGGACTTTCCACTCCACTTTCCTCTCCCCTCTCCTCAGCCGTGATTGTCACAGGACAATCTATTTCCTTTACCTTTTTAGAGATGGACAGGTGGCTCAGTGGATAGAGCTCCAGCCTTGGAGTCAGGATGACCTGAGTTCAAATTCAGCCTCAAACACTGGACACTTGCTAGCTGTGTGAGCCTGGGCAAGTCAACCCTGATTGTATCACCCAAAAGCAAAATAATAATAATAAAATAATACTACAAAAAAAAGAACATGGAGTATAGCATCAAATGGAGTCAGTTAAGGGACCATTAAGTGATGGGGTGTGGCCCAAGCCAAGGTCTTCCTCCCTTAACCCAAAGGGAATCTGGCTTCCCTTTGTCTATAGGCCCTAGAAAGCCCTTACTCTGGTCTCAAATGGTTCCATATTGACTTCCCTTATCTCCCTTTGAAAGTCCTAGCCCCACCGTTTGATCTTGTGCAGATGCTTTTCAAACTTCTGCCTTCCAGTTCCCTCCATTAGCTATTCCCATTGTCTATTCAGTCTCTCAGACCTTCCAAGCTGAATTCTCACCTAGACCCTTTTCCCAGCCCCCTTCTCTGGCCACCCAAAATTACTTTAGTGCAGAAAAAATTCCACCCTGGCCCCCATTCAGGTGCTGAGAATCTCATGCCCATTCGTCCTTAGGGGCGTCACCTGTCCTAAGTGTTTTATCACTAATAAATTTTTCCTGTGGCTGAAGAAGATTTGAGTTGAATTCATTAAGGCAGAGCCCAGTGCCGCGATCTTGGGGTGTCCCCCAAGCACACCCCAAAAGTCCTAGACCTCTTCATCGGGAATGATGAAAGGCACAGCATCAGAGAACCTGGAGAGAGAAATCCTTCTGCCTAGATAGAAGGAGGCTAGGAGTGGTCTGGAATGATGGTAGGTTGGTAGGAAGTTGAAAGAGTATATAATGCTAAACCCCAAAATCCTAAACCAAGCCAGTTTGGACTGAACTCCCATGCAATGCATGTCAAGATAACTTGAGAGAAATTAACCAGGGGGCATGCATACTCCAATTTTGTTTGTCTTTTTTAGAACAAGATGTTTCAATTTTGGGTTCTTGGGGTTCAGGGTTCACAATATAAAAACCACTTTATCCATTTATCTGTTTGACCCTGTAGACTGCTTGCATTCAGAGAGTTCAGTAGAGTAATTCTGAACCAGTTACATTTAATTCTTATTCAGGCAGCTCCTAAAGCCAAATTTTAAGTGTATTTTACATTGAGGGTGGATCTGCCCTTAGGGTCAAACATCCCAATTGTCCTCCTAGAGGTGACTTTAAATGAGCCCCATTCGAATTTAAGCCAGGAGAAAAGTGCTAAGGAAACTGACTGCCTTTGGTGACAGCCTCCATTCTCAAACTAAACTGGTTTGGCTGTGAATCACTTTCTTGCCGGGAAATCTCCAGGTTACCTCTTCCTTCCAAGGTTCCCCCTCCCACCTCTTAAAGTCTGGAATCTTTCCTCCAGTAAAGAATCTAGTGGCAGAGAGATGGGGGAGGAGGAGCTCTCAGAGATGACCAGCCTGGTGGGTGGTGGCCCAGGTGAATAAGAGCCCTGGGGTGGAATTTGCAGGCCTGGGAGGGGTCTAGGTCAGAAGGCTCATCCCAGGGGCCAAGGCATTGCAGAAGAAGGAGGGCAGGGCTTGGGGAGGAGAGGGAGACAGGGTCCTGAGCTCCTGGCCCAGGGTGTGATTGGAGGAAAGGGCCCTTCCTGGGGTCCTCAGACTCTGGGCAAAGGCTGGGAGGACCCTCCCAGAGTGGGCTGGCTGAAAACACGAACTTGTGCTGAGATCTCCCTGTCTTCCTCCCTCAAAGCTGAGGAGAGCTGCCTTCTCTTTGACCTGAGATCTCTATCTTCCTGACACCAGCTCTGTGGGGCACATCCTTAGTTCTAAGCCAGCCCATCATAGATCTGCTGCCTGTTCAGGCCATTGGATCTCATCCTCCTCCTCTGACTATGTGGTAAGTGCCCTCCAGGTCCACCTGCAGCAATCGTCCTGCCCAGGCCTGGCTACTGGACAACCTTTCAGCTGCTCTCTTTTGCAGTCTCCCAATCAGTTCCCAAACATTCAGAGTCACTCTCTTCAGATTTAAGATTGGATCACCCTTTCCCAAAATTCAAACTTTACCCCCCAGGGACCCAGGAATCCTGTCTCCCTGTCTCCAGCTTTTGGTTAGAGATAGAGTTGTTCTCCCTTACAACCAAGCCCTTGTAAGGATGGAAAGTTCTGCCTGGGGGCAACTAGGTTTCTCAGTGGATAGAGGACTGGCCTGGAAGTCAGGAGGACCTGAGCTCAAATCTGGCCTCAGGTACCTTGACAGCTGTGTGACCCTGGGAAATTGCTTAAAAAAAAATTCTGCCTGCCTTGAGACCCAACTTTGGATGTAGGAACCAAAGCTCCTGCCGGATCCCCTTATCTGGACCCCCAGCTCCTGGGCTGCTTCTCTGTCAGATCCCAGGCTTTGGCTTCCTGTGTCAGCTCTCCCCTGGGGGATTCCAAGCCTAAGCTCTACCAGAGGGTCCTAGGAGTCCTCCCCAGTTATCCCTAAGCACACAGCCATCCTGCTTTCCCAGGCTCAGTGTCTACCTGGAGCCCTTCTGTCACTCCAGTTTCCCTAACCTTCCTGCCCTAAACTGGCTTAGAATATCTCCCTCCCAGTCCCTATCTGTGCTCCCCTTCCCCAGGCCTCCTGCTTTCCCTGCCCCCCTTTCTTTCAGAGCCCTCAGGGTCCCAGCCAGGGTGCTGAATCCCAGACAGAATTGTGTCTCCCAGCCTCAGGCTGATCCTGGTCATTTCTGGTGGCTCCATTCCAGAGCTGTACCCATTCCCAACCTTCCCTCCCTCCTAGGTCAAGCAGTCAGTCTGTTGTCTAGATAATGTGTGTGTGCATATGTGTGTGTGTGTGTGTGTGTGTGTGTGTGTGTGTGTGTGTGTGTGTGTGTGAGTTGGGGGAGAGGGGAGGCAGGGAGACCAGAGGACCAGTTGTAGGGAGAGCTCTGATTCAGGAGCCACTGAGGCTCTGCTGGTCTCACCCCATCTGGGATCCCAAACTCCTTCTGCCTCTTGGGTCTCTGTAGAAGAATGGAGGAGAGGAAGGGGACAGAAGAGAAGGAGTAGGAGAGGGTGGGATCATCTCATTTCCAGGCCAGACCTTTCATCTCATTTCATTTCCTAACCTGACCATTCCAGTAGGGGGCACTTTCACCCTGAGGGTAGTGCCACACCCTGTAAATCCCTGCAGGCCAGCCTCCTGCCCTGAGGTCATTCTCCCTTTCCCTTCCCAGCTCCGTGAGCAGAAGACCAAGGTCTGACCCAGCAGGGAGCCTGGAGCCAGAGGGAATGTCCCATGGGAGCTGCAGACCTCCAGCCCAGGTGAGTGCACCCTGCCCTCAGACTTGACCCATATCAGCCAAAGAGGCCATTTCCAGAGACAAAGAGGATTGTCTCAGAGGCTGTCCATTGCCTACCTATGGATTGTTTCTTTGCAAAAATAGGCAAGCAATTGAAAACAGTAGAAACAACACTGCCCTTCTCTCTCCTTCTGTGTTTTGAACTGATTCTCAGCACTTTGGCATCACAAGCACTACATACTACCCTCCCCCGATCCCAGTTGCTGCCCTCCCCTGTTCAGTTTTGAAGTTTTCCCCCTTGATTCCTGAGTCACAAGGATGACCACTTCACTCATTCCTCTCTCTTCTGCTGGGGTCTTGTCTTTGCTCCCTTTAAGCATGCCTAGCCCCCTCCCCCACACATCCATAGAACTGCTCCCCCTCTGCTTTGCTTTTTTGGCCAAGCTCTCCCTGGCAAACCTTGAACACAGGATGCCCTGCTTAACCTCCAGGGTCCCAGCTGCACAGTTTATCGATCTGGTGCACACTGACTGGTCCTGTCTCGTAGCTGGTTTGACCCTCAAAGGCACACTGAGAGGGCAGTGAGGGTTGAAAGGACCAAATACTATGAGCTGGGGCTGGGGGGTGTTCTGGCCTCCTGCATACTCTGGCCCAGTGTTTCTGGAAAATATGACAACTCCAGAAAACAGGTTAAGTTGGCTTGTGGGTCACATTCACATGTTCAAAGGCCCTTAGCAGAGCTTTTTGGAGCAGGCCAAAGCAAAGAGTACCTTCTTTGGCTCTAATTAGCATTTGTGAAGAGACTGGTACTTCCCTTATTAGAGAGGATATAGAGGAAAGGCTGAGTTTAGGGAATTATTCAAAGAGTTTTTTTTTCCAGTGGGGGAAAGGAGGGTATTGAAGGAGACACATTGAAGGAGATGTCAAAGAGGCATCAGGCTCAAAGCAAACACACAATGGAGTGACTTACTTTCTCTCCAAAATCCACTTTTAACCATCTTCACGACAATTCTGTATGGTACGTATTTTTATTATCTTTACTTAACATTTCAGGTAACTGAGGCAAACAGACCAACCAGGGTCACATAGAGAATAAGTGTCCAATGCTGGGCTTGAACTCAGATCTTCATGATCTTCTACCATTTCCTAGCTCCATCAGCATGGTATTAGTGTGCCCATCTTCTCAAACCCCTCCAACATTGACTAGTACCACTTCTGTCAGTTTTGTAGAGAATGAGATGCAGCCTCAGTGTTGTTTTGGTTTACATTTCTCTTCCTAATTGTTTGGGGCATTTTTTCATCTGTTTGGGAATACTTGGCCATTCTTCTTCTGATCATTCTTTCTTCATATCCTTTGACCATTTATCTATGGGGGAATGGCTGTTGTAGTTTTTTGTTATCAATGTGGCCACTTATGCTGATAGTTTTCCTAACATTAAAGCAGTCTTCCATTCTTTGTATAAATTCCCAGTGGTCACATAGTATATGATCCTTGTGGTATTTATGACTGTAATCTACTTGCTAGCACTTCATTAAAATTTTTTTACACCAATATTAAAGAGGGAAATTTGTCTGCATTTGCCTTCTGTTTTCCTTCTTTCTGATTTAGATCTTATCAACTTTTGGTTTTTTGGTGTGGCATTTGGGGTTAAGTGACTTACCCAGAGTTACACAGTCTTAGCAATATTTTTCTGTGATAAAAGGAATCTTTCTTTACCTGTATTTCCAAATAGTTTATTTAGTATTGGAATTCATTGTTTTTTAAATGTTTGGTAGAATTTACTTGTAAATCTGGGAGACTTTTTCCTTATGGAGTTCATTGATGATTTGTTCAAGTTCCTTTTATAAGATTGGGTTATTCAAGTATTCTATTAATTGTTTAAATTTTTCTCTTCATTCCTTTCACTTTTGATACTGGAAATTTGGTTTTCTCTTTTTTTTTTAATCTAATTAGCCAATGGTTTATCTTTGTCATCTCTTTGTTGTTATTCTCTTTAATGAAATTATTATTTCTATGATTTGTTCTTTGATGAATTTGTTCTTTAGGATTAGATGAATGTTTCAATTAATTTTTTAAATCTTTTTCAGCACCTTTATTGAATATGATTTTTATCGCAGATTGAACTAAATAGGCTGAATTTCATATTTCTGATTTTCTACATTTGATTATGAGGTTTTTATGATCTAATCCATGGACAGTTTTTGTATAAATGCTACATACAGCTGAGAAAAAGGTATATTCCTTTCTCTTCTCATTCAGTTTTCTCTAAAGTCTAGCAATCTAACTTTTCTTCAATTTATTTACCTCCTTAACTTCTTTCTTTATTTTTTATTTAGATTTATCTACTTCTGAGAGGGAAGGTTGACATTCCCCACTAGTATAGTTTTATTGTCTATTTCCTCCTATAACTCATTTAAGTTGTCCTTTCAAAACTTAGATACTATACCACTTGGTGCATATATGTTTAGTACTGACATCAATTCATTGTTTTTGACATCTTTTAGCAAGATATACTTTCCTTCCTTACCTCTTTTAATTAGATCTATTTTTGCTTTTGCTTTGTCTCTGATGATCATTATTACCCCCTTTTTTTTTTACTTCAGCTGAAGCATACTACATTCTCCTCTAGCCCTTTATGTTTACTCTGCATGTGTCTCTGCTTCAAATGTATTTCTTGTAAATGGTTTATTGTAGGATTCTGGTTTTTAATTCATTCTACTACTCACTTCCATTTATGGGTGAGTTCATTCCTTTCATATTTACAGTTATGATAACTGTATTTCCCTTCATCCTATTTTTCCTATTTCTCCTCTCCCACTCTCTCTCTCTCTCTCTCTCTCTCTCTCTCTCACACACACACACACACACCCTCTCACCTTTTACCCTATCTCTCCTCACCAGTGTTTTGCTCCAGATGAATACCTCCCCCAATCTGCCCTTCTTTCTATCAGTCCACCTTCCCCTTATCACTGCCCCTTTCTCTCTCTCAATGGGATGAGATAGATTTCTGTACCCAACTCAGCATGTATTCTTTTCTCTGTTTCAGCCAATTTTGAGAAGAGTAACATTCAAGCCCTTCCTTCCCACATTCCCCATCTTCCCCTTCGCTGTAATAACTCTTCTTTTCCTCATTTATGGGAGATAATTTAATCCCTTTACTTCTTCCTTCCCTCTTCTTGAAATGCAATTCTCTTTCTCACCCCTTACTTTTGTTTTCTTGAATATCATCCCATCACAGTCAGTGTATGCTGGCATTGTATACTCCTTCGAATTGCCCTAATAATCGGAAGGGTCTTTCTGGTATCATCTCCCATGTAGGAATATAAACAGCTAAATCTTTTGAATCTTTTCTATTTGCTGTTTTCTGTTTACCTTTTGATGCTTCTCTTGGATGTTGTACTTGAAGAGATTTTGTTCAGCACTGGTCTCTTCACTAGGAAAGCTTGATTATCCTCCATTTATTGGATGTCCATTGTTGCCCCTGAAGGATTTTACTCAGTTTTTCTGGGTATGTGATGCTTAGTTATAATCCCAGTTAATTTGTCTTGCTGAATATCATTCCACATGCTCTGATTTTTTTTTTGTAGTGTAAAAGCTGCTCAATTTTGTGTTAGCCTGTCTGTGGCTCCACGAGATTTGTATTACTTCTTTCTGGCTGCTTGCATTCTTTTCCCCTTGACCTAAGAGCTCTGGAATTTGGGTATAATATTCCTAAGAGTTTTCATTGTGGGATATTTTTCAGAAGCTGTTTGGTGGATTCTTTCAATTTCTGTTTTACCCTATGTCTCTAGATATCAGGGCAGTTTTCCCTGATAATTTCTTTGCCAAGAAAATACCAGATGGGGTCATGCAAGGTCAGACATGATTGAAACCACCTTACAGCAACATTAACATCCATATAGAATGTCTCATGGAGTATGGTGAAACAAGTTAGTCTAATCCTAATTTCCTTCCTGACTGCTTCCCAGTTTTCTCAGCAGTTTTTTAACCAAATAAGGAGTTTTACTCTAAGTAGTTTGTTTTCCACCTTATCAAACACTGAGTTACTGAGTTCTAGTGATTCTGAATTTCCCTTGTTTCATTTGTTCCATTCATTTCTCTCTCTCTCTCTCTCTCTCTCTCTCTCTCTCTCTCTCTCTCTCTCTCTCTCTCTCTTTCTCTCTCTCTCTCTTTTTATTTGTACCAATACCAAATGGTAAATGGAATTTTACCAAAACCCATGGTTTTGATGACTGCTGCTGTATAGTACAGTTTGAGGTCTGGAAGTGCTTTCCCCCCTATAGCCTTACTTCTTTTCATCATTCCTCTTGATGTTGTAAGTCTTTCATTTTTCCAAATGAATTTTGTTATTTTTCTTCAGGCTTGTAAAATATCTCTTTCATAATTTTGTTGTTATCATTATTGATGCTGTTCTGTCTTGTCCAACTCTTTGTGACTCCATTTGGGGTGTTCTTGGCAAAGATATTAGAATGGTTTTTTTTCTTTCTCCAGCTCATTTTACAGATGAAGCTACTGAGGCAAACAGAGTTGAGTGACCTGCCCAGGATCATACAGTTAGTAAGGGTCTGAGGCCAAATTGGAACCCAGATTTCCCTGACTCCAGGCTCGACATTTTATCCACTCAGCCCCTAGAATTTCATTACTATAGTATTAAAAATGTAAATATCACTGTTAAGTCTCCATTGAGGTTTGTATCTTTTGTGGTCCATTAACCAATTTCCATTCTTATTTAATTATGGAATGATAGCATGTCTAGATAACTTTTTAACTTTGTTTGTAGTATCTCTCTGCCCTAGTCTAAGGTTAATTTTTGTAAAAGTTCCATGTGGTACAAAGAAACAAATTATGTCTTCAGTTCTGATTTTCTAAAAAGATGTCAGATTTTTCTTTATCATTGAACATCCACTTTTTGTCCCATGTTGCTAAGCTCATATTTGCATGGTAGATCTCCCAGGACCACATACTGAGCTTCATTCTCTCTGGAATACATTCTTCCATTCCCTCCTCATTTCTAGAGGATT